GTGGATTTCAACGAAATAAGCTTCTATATAAATAGCTAGCTAGCTTGCATGCATCCAGCTATATGAGATCATAAAAGTAGCAATATCTAGCGTGGGTTCACGATCATGAGGCTTGATCGATGATCACGACTCGGTCCGGGTCGAGCCGCTCCAGCTTGAACCGCTCCTGAACGGCAGAGATGTAAGTAGAAGCTCTGGTGTCTATCCTGCAATCCCCAACCACCCCAAAGAACTTGCTGGGACAATGATCAACCTGCTGCTGCCGCCTTGGCAATTTCACTTCTGTCGCCGCCGTGGTAAAAAACGACACTGTGTTTTGAGGGAGTTGTACCGCCGATGGAGGAGAAATAGTTGTTGTAGTAGTAGACTGACTGTAGTACTGCATGTTGTTTCTGGGATTAGGCTGCTGCCTCGGCGCCGGATTCGCCGCCGGTGGTGATTTGTAGAATGGCATCAGTTTGTTCTTCACCAACCCTCTTCTCTTGCGGCCGTTGGTCTCCATTTTGTTTATACCTTATCACTCAACTTCTGTTGGGAAGTACGTTTTCCTTTTTTTTTTTTTTTTTTTTGTTATAAGTTGTGGAGTGTGTGGTTGTTTGTGTTTTAGGGATGATAGGGCAAGAGGGATGCTGCCCTATATATACGAGTATATGGCCGACGTCGGAAATATCTAAAAAGCAAGCGAGTATAATATCTTGTACTTCTTTGCTTGTGTGGAGAAGGGAGATCATCTAGATGGTTATAATATATTAATTCCAATGTCTTAAAAGACATTTCTATAATTGGTTTTGTCACATATTTGTTTATATGTACATAGTTATTTCGGATTCTTGATTTGAGTTGTTTAGAGAAATTTAGAGCCCATCTTATATTAATCTATCATTATGTAGGATCAATATTTATTTATGAGTTGACTTGAAACTTGTAACGATTTGAGTGGTCCGTCAAATTCGTCTTAATTCAGCCTAATATGATCAAGCTCCAAAACGGCTGAGGTATGATTCACAGCATGATTTCAAGTTCAAACACATTAAGTTAATGCATGTCAAAATTCATTTGAAGTTGAAGAAACATGCATCTTATCAAACGAATAGCTAGAACCCTTTCAATTATAATGTTTGTCGACTTAACATGCAAAAGAACTCTGAACCAAGATTGTCACCGAAGTTATGCTTTTTAAAAGTACGCTTTTTAAAGTTCGTGAGCATTTTTTACCTTTATTTCCATGCATACGCAATATTAATTAAATCATGTAGGCATGAAATTTGTTAATGGGACTCCTCTCCATATTAATTGGGCCCTTTTACAATAATGGACCCTACGTACAAAGAGTTTAATTTAAAGAGATAATTAAATGAGGGATAAATAACGTGGTTAAGTATACAAAATTAGCAGCACTTTATCACGCACTTTGGTTTATTTATTAATGGCCAACTTCAAATTGTGTTCTCACTAGTTAAGTAGCCTTGGATGGCGATTTGAAAATCGAACCTAACTCATGGTTTGTCTAGATACCCACCACTACCCGTCGGAAAGAGTGGATATATAAGAATGTTGCACTTTTTCATCATAAAATGCTCTCTTTTTGTGCCACTTGGTTGGGTCATGTAACTTACATGTTTTGTCCAAAACTTGTAATACATTTACTTTAAAAAATCATATTTTGCTACCAACGAAATAGTGTACTTGTGATTGGGGCTGCTAGGTGGTTTTACCCAATAATTCAAGCAGACATAAACATTGAATACGTGCACAAATGAATTTTATACAATCTTTTTCTATATGCTTCTCTTATCAAATAAACAGAGTATGAATTTGAAGCTTCACGCAGTAAAAATACTCAATAATTCAATCGGTTAGAAACTTAGAATATGTGTAGAAATTAATTTTATACGATCTTGCTTGCTTTATATACTTCTCGTATCGAAATCAATCGAGCATGACTTCACACGGTAAAAACTTGAGATGTTACATTCAAAATAAATATTATATCGATCGTTGATTGTGCATGTACACATAGGTTAAAATATACCAAACTAAATCATGATGACAAATTATCAAAGTACAAAGCAAAATTAATACTTCTACAAAGTACAAACAGTATTCTTCAAGAAGACGCTAACGAGAGAGATTCTAACCAAATTATCCTCGACATCATTGCAAATGCATGCAGTAAATTGGACAAAATATTCTACCTGTACGTCTAGTCCTATTCGAAACCACCACAAGGTGTATTGTTTGTTTGTTTCTCTTTATTCCCTTTCAATTCGGGTAAATGCCACATTTGGTCACTGAGATTACTAAATCGTGTTATATTTAGTCACTAGAAAAAATTAATATCAATTTTGATCACTCGAATTACTAAAACAGGTCACCTTTAGTCACTCTCCCGTTAGTCTCCATCCAACTCAGGTCACACGAATTACTTTTTTTTATTTTATTAATGTCACTCGAATTACTGAAACATGTCACATTTAGTCACTCTCCCGTTAGTTTCCGTACAACTCCAACGGGAGAATGACTAAATGTGACAAGTTTCAATAATTCAAGTGACTAAAATTGATATTAATGACCAAATGTGGCATTTATCCCTTTCAATTCCTATACCATTCCCCTGAATTATTGTCCCTCCTCTTTTTTTATACCCTTCATTTTCTACATATTCTATCTACATTGATCCCTCTTGCTGGTGTGAGCATATCCTTCGAGCTACTTCCATTTTCTCCACATAATCTTACTAATATGTTGAAAAATGTTTTTCTTATTTGATTTCATTAGTTTATTATCATTAGTTTATTTCACCTCTTCTCACAAGAAAACGTTTTGAATTTAGTTACTCTAGTATAATGGTTGACCACCAACCTCTAGTTTACCAATCTAACCAGAAGTAATGGTATTAATCTAGAATATCACATCTAATATAGATGTCACATCACATTAAATAATCACCTATCCACAAAAATTCTACAATCAAAGAATCAGATTATCATCAGAGATATATATGTGGCATCATTTTAGATTTGTACATTTTGTATATGGTATAAGACCATTCCACTTCCAACTAATAAACAAAAGCATACATTCAATTTTCCTCTTTTGAAGTCCAGATCCACTTCATATTGGTTAAGCTTGACCATTTAGGTGGCTAGCTAAGATCCTTTCTTTAAAGGAAGTTATTTGTTATTGTCTACCAAAGACAAACGGGAAGAGAATTCTTTATCCTTGGAAAAATTCTACTGACCCCATTTGGGTACGCATCAACCACAAAGCCTATCTCCAATTTTTTGCCAAAGCTACTTTTTGTTGTTAACTTGTTATCGCAGGGAATCTTGTTGCACAAGACACCAATATACGACTCTTTTCCCATTGGGATGATGGATTGGGGGAAAAAAACAAGAAGGAAGAGAGAGTACAAAAGGCAAAAAGGTTGAAGATTTGAATTCCACATTCCAAATCACCAATGCCTTTAGGTAGCTCTTTATCTTTGCATGGTTGCCTCACTCCTACAATCACGTTACCTAATTATGTGAATGGTGAAAGTTTTCATTTGAAACCGAATTTCATTCAAGGGAGTGTGTTTATTTTATGTCTTGAATGTTGAATCACTTTTATGCCATATCGACATAATCAGTATTGTTAACTTGAAGTACACCATGATGATGTGAGTTCAAATATACTAGTTTTGAGCTATTTGACAGATTCACTTTAGAAACATGAATCTTCAGTCATCTGCATATTAGTTGCTGAATTTCTAAATACAGAGATGTCTGTAGAGAAGAGGAATAAGATATAAAAGCATACCAAGTTAACAACAACTCTTTAGATAAGCTCACCATAGAAATATGATTGTACATATAATAGAAGAACAATGATATAGAAGAGACAGTCTCTTGTTCTTTCATTCTTTGTATAGGAGGCTCTTCTTCAAGGAGGCCTCAGGTGAGCTCGAGTAGGTGAGCTCTATGTTCTGATGTAGATGGTACACAAGAACAAATTTTGTGTGTGATGTCGAACAGATGGCTATTCAGGCTCTCGTATGTTGATATGTCTATATGTTTATGACATTAGTGGAGATTCGATTACTAGCTATTAACATACCAGCTTTATACTGTGTGCCTCATTGTCAATGATATATAGAGTGGTTAGTAGCAGTATATTTCAACATACCAGTTTTCTGTTGTTATGTCATGACATATGTCGATAGTTAGCCAGAAGCAATAGTGAGTCTCAACTGCAAGAAGAAAACTTGCAATGTCTAGTTAGCCCTCTCGGGATTCTAGTTAAGCCACTATTAAATAGTTCATGTTCGAAACTTTATAAATTAGTTGAGATAGCATATACTTAGTTCGTTGAATTTTGGTCTCACTTTTTCCTTGTAAATTGTAATGCTCAATCATTAGGTATATTCATTCTGATGCTCCAGCCAGAAATTAATGAATTATACTCTTTTGTTCGGTTAAGAAATAAAAGTTGTGTTGAGTTTCAAGTTGAACTTCGATTCATGCGTTGGCGCTCTTCAAAAGTGAAATATACTCCAAACTACTTCAAGCTCAACTTGTAGGCTTGTTCTGCATTTTTTCTTAGGCTTATTTGTTGGCTCTCCTCCAACCCCTTTTGAGTAATTTTATCAACTGGTTTAGCGTGAGGGATTATGAGTATGAACCTCTTCTTGACGTGCATTTAAATGACGAAGATTGATTAGAATTTGATTCTATGAGGAACTTATTATATATGTTAGTCTACTTGCTTAAAGGTTAGTTGAAAATTACTTTTCGAGTTAACCCACTATCCGCCACCCACCCTAATCCGCCATTGCCCACTACTAGGTTTATTCTTTGTGAATATGGATATGATCAGTTGAGTTATTAAAACCAACTAGTTCTTGACACTCTCTTCGACTCTCTAACCTCATTTTTTTTTACTATGAAAAATGTTGTCTCCACGGTAACTATCTTTAATAATTTTGAAGATTTTATAAAGATTAAGGGTGCACTTTTTCCCCATATACTTAATAATTTACCCATTGGGATGATAGGCTGATACATAAAAAAATAAGTACATGGTATCAAATTACATAATAATTAATTGGTAAAAATGAAAACAAAAGCTAGTTGTAAGTATAACTAATAAATATTATGTTTATATAATGATTTAAAGAACATATGTCTATTGAGTGATTAATTATAAAAAAAGAGTGTATTGATAATAATAATAATCATCAATTAAAAGGGAGTGTAGATTTGCATCTGGTTCAAGATGTGCTCAAAGTTATCACTAGGCCTCTCAATAGGGTGGGTGTGAGCGCCTTCATAAGTTGTGACCACTACTCCTTCATCTTTGGTCAACCTTTGAACTTGTTTCTTCACATTGCAGCCTTGGTACGTGCACCTGTAATAGCTCCTGCACCCACATTTATTCATTATATGTTATATGTCAATTGAGAACTTGATCATGTTATGCGATCATATACACACAGTCACACACATGCTACCTAGCTAGCTAGTCTACTTTGTCAATGATTTTGAATTATATCAAGCATTTTTCTCGTGATTATAATGTGTTTATCGTAGTGGAGACAGATACTTGACACCATATAAGTACAATAATATATGAAGTGTGCTTCAATTGGCTCAGATTAATATGGAATTCGCAAACTCGATCACTTTGTATCAGTGGCTTAGAAATACATTTGTAAAGAATTTAAAAAAATAGATCGAGTAGCTATTGAGTCTTTGGTTCCCCTTTCCAACCATTGTTCAAATCCATTGGGCTCAATTTTTCAGCCCATTCACTCTCCATTGCTTTTGTATTATAGGCACAAAGCATATTTAATTGCTTGAAGACTTGAAAATCAACTTTAGATATCTAATATTTATCTTGTGTCACCAATAACTAATTTATTGTACATAATTAATCATCACCACTTAACATTCGAATTATCGGGATTCAAATATAAATCTTTTATTGAAGATAATCAAATCAATACCCGATTTTTAACAATAACTCACTTAATAATCTTGTTGGAACGTTTTACTTTGTTAGAACTCATATGTAGCTTAATTGTATGTAGCTTAAGCACTCACATATCAAAATGATCAATGCATGTAAGTAGCCAATTTGCTGTCTTTCTACAAAAGTAGGCTGGGAGGGAATCTTTATGTACTTTATATATGGGCTCATGTTTTTCATGATCCAAAACTCGAATTGCTTATTAATATATGATGATCACTACTCACAAGGCAAACAGAACTTCCAAAACCCACCCACCGATGGAGACTAATCACCCTCGACTGTCACTAATGATACTTAATAAATCATTAATTCCCATGTGAATTCTAGATCTTATACCCATGTTGATTAGTTTAGTTTAATTCCCCATCAACTTAACTTAATTCTCTAAATACAAAGTATCTAGCTATCCGCCCGCCAAATCTCTTGGGTTACTATTAATTATCTGCTTGATAATATTTTACTATTACTAACCATTTGATACACTTACTACTTCTAGCTAATTAATAGTGATCACAAATAGAGCAAGTGTTCAATAAGATATTCAAGATATGAGAAAGAACAGATCTCTAAGTCTAACTAAGTGGCGTAGGAAGAGTTTGTCTTCATTTGTTCTGCACCAACGACTATAATCTCACTCAACAGTTGCATTGAACATTGACGCGCGAGTTGATCTGATTAAGTTGCTACTCACGAGAAGAATTTATATATATTCATGAATATTTTTTTATCGAATGAAGAGTCAGGAAAATCAACATATAGATCAACTAAAAGTTTCTCATTTCATGAATATGAATGAAAAGAGCTAATTTGAATCGTGTTAATTATAAGAGAAGAAGGTAAGATCTTACTGATTAGGCGACTACTATGCTTTCTAAATCTTTTACGAATTTTACATATAATTTTACCTATACTCCAATAGTGATGAGGGCTATAAAGTATAACCTCTCCTGGTTTCAACCTAACTTTGTTACTGCTCATTGAATACAGTTGCTTATCACAAGAAATTAACTATTTTTCTTATTGTTATGTGTAAGATTTGATCGAGTCGTTCAAATAAAATCATGTTTGATATTTAATATCGTTTAAACCAATTAACGTTGAATAGTCCTCCTCGACATGAATAACTTCCCCATTGATGTGATTTCATCAAGTCATAGATTGAATAATATCGGCTAAATTGCATTGAATTATATTGGTTTTATCGAAGAATTTCTCCGTTGATAATCTTATCAAGTTCAGAATAAATTATAGCTACCTAGCTATAGATCAGTACTATGTTATAAATGAAAGCCATGGATCGAGAGGTAAAAAGTTACAAAGGAATTAAAACTAGTACCTTGGGAACTTGTTGTTCTTGACAGCTTTTTGGCCATACTTTCTCCATCGATAGCCATCGTCAAGGATATCAACCTGGCTCCTCGTCTGGAAAGCATATCTAGGCTTCTTCAACTTCTTCTCTCCCTTCTTCTTCCCTCCTTCGACTCCTCCTCCTCCTCCTTGATATGCTACAGTAACAACCTGCTCCTCATCATGATCATCGTTATTAGTACTGATCTGATGTTGATGATGGTAATCATGATCTGCTGCGCTCGACCCCATCATCATCATCGATGGACCGTCATTCATTGATGAGGATGATGGTGGTGACGACGATGATGATAAGAAGTTGATACTATTGTGATGATGATGATCATCGTAGTACTGATGATGGGCTGAGGAAGAAGAAGAGGAGGAAGGGAACAGCATCTGGAACTTCTCCATGTGGGGGGAAGAAATTAAAGCTGTTTGGGAGCTGAGAAAATGAAAGTAGAAGTGGGAAAATGAAGAGATGTGCGTGTGTAAATATATATAGTGGTGGGGGGATGGAAGATGTCGTAATTAGCGGCTGGCAACTGAGGAATATTACATTTTCCTAATCAAATAGTCTTGTGATAATGGAAAATTGGCTTGTTGCCTTCATCAGCGGATTGATTTCTTGGATCCTAAGAGAGAGAGAGAGACGTGGAAGGATAAAAAGAGGCGGCTTCATGATTATGAATTTGACCGTGGCTTGGGTTAAAAGAATATGGGCCAAAAAAATGAAAATGACTAGTCCGTTGATTAGCCTCATTGGAGAAGATTAATCTGCCTAATTAAGATTAGTGTAATTAATCAGTAATATGGACTACAAGTCAATAGCACATGCATGCCTGATTGTTGTTATCTTCTTCCTAAAGATTAATAGAATGTCACGACATTTATCTAATTGAGTATCCATCACATTACCACATATTTGAATCACCCTATATTTTGTTCCTCTATACAAATATAGAGCAGAAAGCATTACTAGTAGCAACACAAAACCGGCTGAATACTATTGCCTTAACATTTCAATTCCAACTCGTCTACTAATATATACGGTTCATCAATTATCCTTCATAATTAGATATGACCAACTCAATCTGAACGAGTAAAAGAAGAAAAACTCTTACGATGTATTTGAGAACCACTAATTTATTTAAAAATTAGGTTAAATACACTTGTATATCCAAAACTTTCATGGTTGTGCCCAATAATATCCAAATTTCTCGAAATACCACTTATATCCAATTCCTTCACATTCTTTAACGGTGTTTTTGGATATACAAGTGTATTTAACCAAAAATATATTGGGAAATGGATAGATTTGGCAAAGAACAATTTTAAAACATGGATATAAGTGGTATTTCGGGAAATTTGGATATTATTGGCACAACCGTGAAAGTTTTGGATATACAAGTGTATTTAACCTAAAAATTACTTTCCGTTTGAACTTCATAAATTATCATAAAAGAAAAACTAATCTTAGCTTAAATCAAGCCAGGACTAGCAACAGTGACCGTTATATATAGCTGGTCCTGTTTTAATTAACATAAGATTAGTCTCATGTATCATTTTCATATAGTCCATGTAAACTCACGTGCATGATTAATGTCTCTCTAATTCTATTATATTATATGCTATTTTCCTCCCATTCCTTACTACCTACTATTTTGTTTGACCAATTTGGATTTAACTGATTGCTATTTATTCTTTCTCAATGGCATCATATAAAGCTTTTCCCTTTAATACTGTGTTATTTTTGGTCTCCACATTTGGATTGGTAGTGTACTATCTATTAGTAGTGCATGTCTGCGTCTGCATGACCATTGACCACCCAGCCGCTCGACGTTACTTCCTTGAAGCTACATTCATATTCCACCTCGTGGTGCATGTATCTACCCTCTTGTTTACTTTTGTTTCCCCCCTTATTACGAATCAACAATGTCTCGACAGATCAATTAAATAATTAGGTTGGTGATAACAAATCGATGCATCGATTCAACTATCAGATCATTCTCATCAACACAATTAACAGTTAGCTCGTCTTTAGTCTCATTCACAAAAAATTATTGTTTATATATGGGTTTAATTTTTTTTTTTTAATTTGTGAGAGTATATCTCTTTTATTTAGCTAGGTTATTCCATATTTTGTTTCATTAGGGTTTTCTCTTTGTTTCATATCTATATCAGGTGTAATCTATGAGAAATTGATTTCAATAATGTACACCAGTCGATTTATTTTACACTTTTTAAGGATTTTTCAAATGAAAAATTGAAAATTATAATGCAAATCTCACCGAAAAAATAAAATAAAACAATAATGCAATTAAGTAAGGAAAACTAATACATTTCTACGAAGAGTTACCAGAACTTAAGATGTTGAACTATTGGATTCCCATATTTGCCAAAGTATATTGTTGGACTAGCAACAAATTTACTGATTAATTCTTGCTTTGGACGTGACTTTGTCTCGCTAAACAACATGTAAAATAAATAGTTGAAATCAATATCACACAAGATAAAGATATGGCAAACATGAAATTAAGTATATTGTTTATAGTCTGATCTTCATATATATTTCCTTCATGTAAGGAAATATTGAGGCTGCTGCTTCCAAACGGGCGGATTTCGGTATAGATGGTCATGGATGGAATGTCTGTAGAAAAGGGTCAATAGTAATATTAGGCGCCCGCCGCTGGCTGGCCGCAGCCCCTGTTTCGTCCGTCCTGAGTTTGACTATATATAGCTAGCTAAAATGGCAGTACTCTTTCAAACACCTGTTGAAACTTCTTACGTGCACTTCAATCCACCACTAATCCACTATGCCTAACTGATGTTCAAACAGGTGGCTACTTCCCAGGCCAGATCGAGGACACTCTGCTTTACATGTTTTTCATTTTACTTTGTTGAAAACGCGTTGCTACGAATCGGGAAATCGCCGGTCGGAATTCATAAAACAAGAATACGAAAGTGAGAATCGAAAAACACAGACACACGATTTACGTGGTTCACTAACACAATGTATGTTAGCTAGTCCACGAACGAGAGACAGTTAGTTTCACTATATCGATGAAATTACAGATTACAGAAAAGGAGTATGAAAAGTATTTATAGTACTTCCATGTGGGTCTAAACTTAATCGAGTCGTAACTGCTGATGTATAGATATCTGATTCAAGTCACATCAACATACTTCCTAGCATGTATACCCCACAACCTATGCTTATGCTAGCTAGCTGCTGCTCGGTTGTTGCTGTAGTTTATTGGGAATGCATAGAAGCCATAGATAAGGGTCTCTCAATGATAGACCTTCCGGCGTCTGCGGGCGGACATGAGCTGTAACAGAGTGTTCTCACGGGGAGCCGAGGCAGAACTTCAATCTGAACATATTCTTTCTGTCATGCCTATCTTAGTAGATAGTAAGAGCTGTTTCTCGCCGAAAAAACGGCTTATTCAGTTATTCATGATTGTCTGATGATGGTGGGTGATAACCCTGAAACCTCCGGCCGGCCGGGAACTAATTCCCCACTCCGTCGCCGCCGTTGTCGGAAGAGAAAACAGAGCCTAGCTACTGAATGCTTGTTGGGTTCGTACAGAGATGCGCATGCCGGAAATTAGTTACCTTTCTCTCTACTCGACTCTCCCCTTTCTGATTCCTCTTCATTAGGCTTTGCTCAGTCAGCAGCGGCAGCGAGCTCTGCTTGTTTTCTGTTTTTCTCCCGCCCCCCGTTTTTGCAGGGATGGAAGTCTCGGTCGGCCCCGGGTCAATATATCGCAATAAAGTCAATATATCACCAAATTATCACGATATATTGTAACATATCGTATATCGTCAATTTCACTTTCTCGTCAATTTATCGCGTTTCGATTCTGGTTTTGAGAACTCGAAACGTTTCGCGTTTCGGCGTTTCGGGCCCCGTATTTCCCAGTTTTCGCGCTTGTTCCCGCTGCTCCGTCGCTCGTTCTTGCGCCATTTATCCTCTGGTGTACTCCTCTACCGGCCAGCAGCAGCGGCGGGGGCTGGTGGTGAAGTTGGCCACCGGTTAAGGGGTTTTCCTTTACCTCTCAAACCGCCGCCGGAGTTCGCTGGCCTTTCCTTCCTTGACCAGCCATAAATTCCCCTGAGTATCTGCACTTTCCCTTATTACCCCACGGAGTGAGAGAGATCGGAAGAAAAATCCATCCCCAACCAATTCTAACTCTTTTGATCCGATAAAGATTAGTGGGTAATCGATTTAATTACTCGCCGAAGTTGCTGGGTACAGAGACTGCCCTGTTCTAACAGTATTATTTCGTGACCGGAGAAAATAGTGGGTTACCGGCCACCGGACGGGGTTCATCTCCGACTTCCGCCGCAGTTGCTGGGTTTCCTCGGAAGAGAAGAAACAGGGCACTCTGCTTATGCACACAACTAATAGAAAGGAAGGGACTAATTACCTTTGAATGATTGATTACTTTTCAACAGAAGAAACTGTATAGCCTAGAAGTGGTTCCTGTTCCTGTTCCTAGTCCAATCCAATTGGAAAAACAACGGGAGGCTAGAAATATTTTTTAAAGATTTGGAGTTGAATTCCAACACAGTCGCAGCCTGCCATCGTTGAACAGAGATTAAGTATTTCTTTTTCATGGTTGATCTAATGAATGATACCTTTATTTCTTTCTAGAATGGAACTTTGTCATAACCACGTGTGCTTGATTGCTGCTTGCTATGAATATGATGCAGCTAGTGCTAGTCCATCGTTTCAAAGTAGTGACCTTTCAGCCGTGCAAGCCATTGATTCAGCTGCAGATATGCAGATTCTGCTTCTCATCGATGAAATGATCATAATGCTGACCCTTTTACTTAAAAATAACAGATTGAAGACAACATTATTATTTATCCCTTTCTTCCCTTTTCCTCTTTTATCCTATGAAAGAATTGCTATCGAAATTACTACTATAAGAGAATCGAAATGATCCAAAGGAGATTTGTGTGGAGTGGTACGTCAGATAATCAAAGGATTCCCCTTGTGAGATGGGAGCTGTGCAAGGCTTCAAAGGAGGATGGCGGCCTTGGCATTGTAGATATCAAGAGCTTCAATAAATCCATGCTTGCCAAATGGCTCTGGAGGTTCGCTTCTGAGAATAACTCTTGGTGGAAGGAGCTTATTAAGACCAAGTATTCCGATTCCCATTCCACGTGGCAAAGTGACCGCTGTAAAAGCGGATTCTCGGGGTCTGTTTGGGCCAACATCACCAAGGAATATGATACTTTCTGGAAGCATGCCCACATTGATCCTGGAGGAGGTGCTTGGGTCTCCTTCTGGAAGGATTGCTGGATCCCGAACATAACCCTTGCTAAAGCCTTCCCGCGCATCGCCGCTGCCGCGTCTTCTCCGGATGCTTGGGTCGCCGACATCATAACCAGGTCTGGTGAGAATGTTCATTGGAATCTGAATTTTAATGTTAATTTGAGAGGGGGGGCTGAGAGGGAGAGGGCTGATTTATTTAATCTTCTTTCTATCTCTACTAATCATTGTGTCGCCTGTGGGCCGAGTCGAATTGTTTGGACTTCACGTCCAGATTCTTCCTTTTCAGTTAAGTTGATGTACAGGTCTATTGTAAGCAGCCAATTCCAAGGAGTCGATGACTTCCCGGCCGAGTCAGTTTGGAGAAAGCTTATCCCTTCCAAGATTTGCAGCTTCATTTGGCTGGTGGCTCACAAGAAAGTGTTGACTCTGGACAACCTGCAGAAGAGGGGGTGGTCTATCGCGAATAGATGTGTCTTGTGTGGAACGAGTGAAGAGACGGTCGATCACTTGTTCGTGGATTGCGACTTCGCAAAGAAGGTTTGGTTTGAGAATGTCAAATCTTGCAGGGGCATCACTCCTCCCAGCAGCGATATTCTTGCTACTATTCATAGGTGGAATAGCGATATCCCGGACAACGCGAATGGTTGGATCTGCTACTGCATCCTACATGCTACCTGCTGGCAAATATGGTTAGAGAGAAATCGAAGAACTTTCCAGGACCTGCAGCGGCCATCGAACGCGATCTCAGCAAGAATTTCCAGAACAGTCTTTGAGTGGCTGGCTGTTAATGGAAAAATTGATCCTAGCGGAAGTAACGGTTGAGGCCTTTGCGCCAAGGCCTGCCTTTGGCGATGCTGTGTCTGAGCGGTCTTGGTTTCTCTCCTTGGTGGGCGCTGCTTGGTGGGACAGCTTGTTGCGCTGGCTGGTTTTGCTCCCCTGCGCGTGGTGGTTTTGCGCTGGGTTCTTGCAGCGTGTGTTGTTTGTTACTTTCTGTCTTTTAGCACAGGGATGGTCTGCTCCATCTAGTGCTCTTGCGCTTCTCTGTTCTCTTTCTGTGTCCTTTTCCCTCTGTTTCCCTGATCTGCGTGTTGGGTCTCTACCCTGTATAGTTGTTTCTTTGTTTTTGCTTTCATTGTTTCCGTTTTGAACTTGGGGTTCTTTGGGATTATTGCTCTTGATCCCTACCCCTGTTTTTATTCTCTCCTAATTTAATTATCACCATTATCAAAAAAAAGAAATTACTACTATAAGATCCTTCTTCAAGCAATTTTGAACTACATGAAGGATCTCAGACGGGGCCTCGACAGGGACTGGCCTCCATCAACGAATATGGTTGTTCCGGTCATGTAACGAGCACCGTCGCTGATTAGATACATGACAGTTGATGGTAGATCATTTTGGGGATCTAGCCATCTCTGGAGAGGTACTACTTCGCCAACAAGCTTCTCTGCTCTGTCTTTTCCTACTGATATCGGGAACTCGTCCTGCAGATGCAGGCCTCGTGCAATCGCGTTGACTCGGATCTTGTGCTTCCCAATTTCCATGGCTGAATTCTGCAGACCAGAAAAGGTTCGATGAGAAGATGTGATGGGTGAGTAGTAGAGGTTAACATCATGCTAGTTGGTTTGAAGTTGTTACATGTATAGTAACATTTTTTTAACTCTTGAAAGTTGCAGTTGGTATTAGAGCCTAGATTCATATAACACAATGGCACTGTTAAAAAGAGAAGCACAGATGAAGCCCATGAAGAATCTTCAGGTATAGGATAACTGGTACAGCTTATCAATCAATCTTTATATGATTCTCCTAGGGTGCAAGTATTTAGAGTTCCCTTAAATCTGTAATGTTTATAACTATCTATAGGGCAACAAAGAACTCAATGTCACTTGAGACTGAAGCCCAGATACACAAATGCATCCGATGCAGAACCTTCAGGTGAAGTTAACTGGAAGGCCTTAGCAATCTAGTTAATGGACTATACATGAAATAAGATCATCATCCGAAGATATGAGAAGCGAAAAGCTCTACTGACAAATTCGATAACTACTTGTGCTTAAAGCAAATCACTAGAAGCTAACAAGAAAGGCTCATGAACCATATGAAGCATTATGTATCAGCTTACCCTAACTAATTGCTGGATTCCAGCAGAACATGAACCGTATGCTGCAGCTCCTGGATAAATCCCTCTTTCTGCACCATTTAGTGAGGTCAGGAAGACGACAGAACCTCCTGTGTTATGGTCTCGCATTCTACTTCCAACAGCCTTTAGCAGAAACCACGGAGACATGAAATTTATCTTGACTGTCTTCTTGAACTCGCTCTCGGGGAACTGCAGAAGGTTCTGCATCTTTCCTGCAATCAATAGCCAGTCCATTGAGCAGCAGATTCCTTGATCCGAAGCGTAACAGAGGATTTTAGAATTGAAAAGCTTACTAGAAAGTGCATATTATGGACTCCAAACACTCATGCATTAACAGAAAGCTCCATACTGGGTCCCTATGAACAATATCATGTAGCACTGATAAAATTCGATAGACAAACTTGGGATTTGTGTTCCTAGGTAAGACCGGTTCGCGATCATGGAATCCTTCACAGAGGTTGGTTTCCATCAACTTAAGAAAGAACTGAAGTTTGCCATTTTGAATGATTTCTGGGACCAACTAGGTTCTAGACATAGCAATTCAGGGAAGTATTGTTTTCATCTTCCAAGTAGTTACTGAAGCAAGGGTTTGGTACATGAGGGACCAATACAACTTGTCAAACAAGGCAAGAAGCAATAAATTCTGACTTTGATGCAATGCAAACATCTACAAGGACTAATAGCAGAGGCAATTTCTACCTAAAAACCCAAATGAAAGTCACTGTCTTTAGGAAATTTATCAAGAAAATACTGCAGACCCAGGTACTTCATTTGGAAAAGGCCCAATTGTATCCAACATGCCAGACACCATTAGTCAATTGCCATTACTGTTCCATCCCAGTCCAGGCCAAAATTTTGGTTGAATGGTCCTTTTGGGCTGTGATGGAAAATCCAGATTCTCCAGTCCCAATTTGAACTGCATCAATGGTTATCATTTCATACTGATTTTACTGTTTGGATTAAAAACCTCTTTTAACGTTTGTTTTAGAGGAAAAAGTCCGCTGCCCCTTTTTCCCACCACATTCAATCCACATCAAAACAAGTACAAGAATAAGAATAAGGTTCAAAATTTTATTATTACCTTCATAGAAATAGCAATGGACAAAAGCATCCAGATTCCCCAGAATCCCACAAGCCTTCCCCACAGCTTCTTTAAAAGCTTCCTCTCTTTCATCTTCCATGTCCACCCCCACCACTTCTACTGTGGCAGCCCCATTGATGGAGCTCATTATCTTCTCACTCACACGCCTTAGACAGCTCTCATCCCCCATCAAAACCAACCTAATCCATGATCAAACAAGCGATTAAAGAATGAAAGAATCAGAATCTCTAGCAAACAAGAGCCAACTGTAAAACTGCTGTTTATATTTAAATTCGGAAAAAGCTGAATCTTGGTGGAATCATTTCAATCGAACGTGGATATGAAGTTAGAACCCCACTCTTGTAATCGATAATTCAGACACCTAAATGCTTTACCTGCAACCATGTTTTGCTAATTGGAAGGCGATACTCTGGGAAACCTCGTCGCCATTGGAGGTCAGCAATACTTTCTTCACTGGCACTGGAGTCCCCATTCCCTATCTCTCTCTGCAATCAAGCAAACGGCAGAGTCGAGCACAGCAAGCATCAGAATCATTCAATCCTCCAAAATAGATGAAGAAGGAAAACCAACCCAACAAAATTTTGATACCTCTGAAACCGGGGAGTCGCAAAATTCGTTCGCTTTACTCGAAATCAGAAGCTTCCCAAGCTGGGAAACGAAGAAATGAGGAATGGGTAGCTTAGAGAATTCCGATGAGTCGCAACTGGAAGCAGAGTTTCTTTCCTTCGTCGCCGAGCACCCCACTGCTGCTGATTCTTCTTGTTTGTTAAAAATGATGGCGAGGGATTGGGCTTTTCTCGACTGGTGAAGGGTAACGTAGAGGTCCGGAGCTCCACCGCGTTAGCTGTGGTAGCGAAAGTGTCTGTAACCGTCAGACTTTCCAAGGAACTGCGCGCAATGGGGCGAAATATATATAGCCATATAGGGTGGTCGTCGTAACCATGTGAGTGTCGGCATAGAAGCCCATGAAAAGGAAAGGGAAACTGTGTTTGGTATTTTTATCTTTTTTTGGACAAGTGTTTGGTATTGCCAAAAAGTGTTTGGTAATTATAGATAGTTTCAATTCATTAGTGAATTTGGGGAATATGGATATTTAGACAAATTTTAATACATATTGCTTTTCTCTCCAAATGATTTTTTTTGGAAATGAGATGATTTAGCGAGTTCCATAATTTGTGGTAAACAAAAAATTGATCTACCATTAATAATTGTTCAAAAGAATTTGTTTGGAAAATTAATGTTGTTCCATGGTATAATCGCTAACTAGATATTATAATGCGAGGCATTATCTTGTTGTTTCATGATTATCCTCTATAAATGATATCTTTTATCATTGATGATTATTAATTTATCGATCTATTTAGGGTGCATCCAGTGGCATGAGTCATTTCATTCTTAGATACAACAACTTAGGGGTCATTTGGTACTTAAATCAATGCATTGTAATATACATGCAATTAATGAAAATGATGTAATGTACTTGTATTGTTTAATTTTGGTGATAGTTCTTTTACTTTTGTGAGAAATATCACTTTTGTCCTTATTTTTATCAGAACATATATATATATATATATATATATATATAGTGAATACTGGTGTACGTCAGGCGTATAGTATACATCAGGTGATCTAGCCGTTAGATGTAGTTAGATGAGCTCCGACCGATCTCAACGGTCAATATTTGTTTTTCATTTAATCAAACTTTGGGTTAGGGTTTAGAAAATGGGTGCCTGGGGTTTATTCATTAGAGATTAGGGTATAGTATCATACCCCAAATTCGATTTAATTTATGGTCTAGATAGAGATATCTCACTGGTAGATAGAGATATCATACCCCAAATTCGATTTAATATATATATATATATATATGACTAGGGGTATAATTGGAACAAAAAAGGAATCAAACAATCCCCTAAAAACTATCTCAACAATTTCAAGTTTTAGTAGAGATATTACTATCACTCATTTTGAGTGATAGTTTCCATCACATCAAGCAAACAATGCATGTATTGTTTGTGCAGAAAATTCGAAAAAACAATGCATTGTGAACAATGCATACATTACAACCAAACAATCACCAAAACCAAACGAGCTAAATGACTAATCTCCACGGTTTTTAAGAAACACATGTCTAAATGAGAATCTATATGATGATTGAGATATTTTAGCTTTCTGCAGACCCATTATGTCTTATCTTGCACTTTCCCAAAGAAAATGATGAATGAGAGATGGCGGTCGGAAGAGGGAACTTGTGGGTGGCGGGGTATTGTGCTTGTCTTGTGTCTGGCTGCTCTATGAATTCCCCCACCACACATGGATCCACCTTTATTAGTGATGACAAAGGGTGGGCGGGTACCTCAATACCCATGGTCTGTCTCAAGCTATTGTGGTTCGGGGTGAGTAAAACTCGCGTGGCTATATGATGGGATGGGGCCAGTCAACCCACTTTCATATGTTATTTGAAAAAGATATATGTAAATTTTACTTTTTACGATAAAACGAAGGGGAAAATACTTTATTAATGAAAAATAGTGATAATAGAATGGATAATTGAGTCTAACAAGTTAAAATATCAACTCTAACTAATTAAAGAAAAGTCAAAATAGGAGAAATATGTATAGATACGGTAAGAAATTGGAATAAAATGGGCCAAGAACGGGGCGGGGTAGAGCAGAACGGATCGAAAGTAGATACTCATGTCCCGTCCCACGCTACCGCAGATCGGGTAATACCCGCCCCATTGCAGATCAGGTCGAATAATACCCGCGGGACGTGTTTAATTTGTCTTCACTATCCACCTTTGAAACGCCGGAGACAGTGGGAAATTGCATGCAACTTTTCCCAGAAAATGCTTTCGTTCTCTTTTATTTTTTCTATGGGAAAGACAAGAGCGGATCATTAGCCATCATGCTGAAAAATATTTAATTTTGTACGACCTATTTGAAGAAAATTAATCTTTACTCTTATTTGTTACGAGTATTATGGAAAAATGAATTTATGGTTCAATTAGAGGAGAGAATTGAAACCGGGAGATTTGAATTAAACTTCTCATGCATATGGGATTTTAGTATGAAACGTGAAAATTGAACAAAACAGTTCGAATTTCACAAAATATGAAAATTTTGAACCAAAATCTCAACTTTCACGTTTCAATTCCCACATATTTAGATAAGGAAGACACGAGTGTTTAACTTAATGATACATAGAAGGAACCCAAATAAACCACACATTGAAAATGGACATTCAAACAATTAAATTATTTGTTTCGGTAATTGGTTTGCATATATGAACCTTTTTCGTGTCGTATAAGTAACCCTTTTGGTGAACAACCAAAAAATGTAACTAGGTTCATAACTTCATTCACCACACGCGACTGCATTGTTCTTGTTATAGTTTCGTCATATCCTATCATTGTCGATGTATATATTAAAAAAATATTATGTCTTCATTAAATGCCCTGCTATCTAGATTCTTGTATCATTTTACTAAGAAGATCTCACAACTTATAAATAACATAATATATTTGTTGATATGATTTGAATTGGACTATCGGGCGACGACTGGAAGTTACAGGTCTCGATGATCTTAATTATTCTTTACTAGATATATTGGATTAGAGTTGGACCACATGGAGAAGTACTATAAATACTTCTCATTCTCATTTGTAATCTGTATATCCTCAAAGTACAGTGAAACTGGCTCTCTCTAGCTCATGGATTAGCTAAGACACATTGTATTAGTGAATTACGTAAATCCATGTATCTTGTTTCGTTTCTTGCTTTCATTTTCTTGCTCTGTCGATCCTCTGATTCTTCAACCTGTAGAAACACTAACAATAATATTCTAATATACGACAGTAATATAATTATCGTCTTGCACAAACAATTGGTCTTTAATTACTATATTAAAAAAATTCAAAATATACCAGATCGGTCTTCAAATTTTACATTTCCAGTGGCCATTATCTGCACTTTCCACCACTCTACATGCTTAGTTTAAGTAACCATGAATATACTAAATAATGTCGTTTATGCTTACTCATCCCATATCATTGTCCTTATTCTACAAAGAGTCAAAATAGGAATGCACAATATTTTTGGATTATACGTGTAGTCAATCAATCCGTGTATTGAAGAATCTGGATACCGAGCAACTGATTAAAGTCAATAATTTATTTATCGTCAATTAGTTTTGAGTCAAATAGAATCGCATGGTCCTCTTACACGCTACTAATTAACATTAGTTTTTAGCCACGACATTAAATATGTTTTAACCACCAAAACACCAAAAAGGAGTAAGTAAACGGAATGTGTACGCATTGTATGACGAAAATGATAAGGATAGCTAGGTAGAGTCAACTAACCTGATATTATTTTCCAGTGTTTGTGATGTCTTTGTCCAAAATATCGAGTTCATTTATCTTTTATTTGAATTATGTATTTGAGTATTTTCTTGTCAAATTACCCCATTATCAATAACTAATGGATTGGATATGTAATTGTCTATCTTGAACTAGCTAGAATGTTACTCTGCATAATGGTGTGTCTTCTTGGAAAAAAACAACTTTTATTTATCTATGATCCAAGTTTGAAGTTGTTGTCTTTCAACTCACGGGATAGTCATCCGGACAATAGGTTACTTAATCCACGTTGATAGAAATGAATGCTAACTTAATGCTTTCGGCGGCCATCCTCTATGTGTTTGGGCTAGCGGATTTAGGGTTTTGCTTGGGGTGGGCTGGTCCACGTGTTTGGACATAGGTTTTGGGCTTGCGAGTCTTGGGCCTGGATGTTCCACTTTTGGTTTAATCCTTTTTCCGTTTGGTTCTTTCGTCCTTCCTTTCAGTGATGTTATCTCTGTACACCGTGTTTTATTTTTTAATGAAACAGCCAATCAACGTTCAAAAAAAAAAAAAATGGTATAGCATGACACAAGGTGCACGGTAGAACATCCAAACTAGATTATTTAATGAATTTCGATCGCAATGAGTACTAACTCAATCCCGATGAGAAGATGTACAAGACACACGGACCCACCATACACACTTCATTATCCGCATACAATAACAACAATAAGGATCCAGACCAGAGGAGATTTCAACATTATTTGGCTATATCACCATGTATACATGAATCATTGTTAGAGTAGTCAAAAAAAGTTAAAGGAAATACCACATTGGCGGGAGAAGGGAAGTGCAAGTGGTTTTTAAGTTTGCTTTCCACTTTAGTTTATTGGATAAAGTGGTTAGTAGGATTTTGGAAAAAGTGTGAGCTATTTAATTTGACATATTAAATATATCGCACTACTCACTTAGCACTTAATTAATTTCAAATAATTAATTCAATTTGAGTTTTGTGAAACGACGTAACTTTTGAGAAGGGAACTGCCGTTTTCTCACAATATATGAGACGTTGGCCAGAAGATTGAGTACTAACGTTCATCTTCTTCTCTCCGTTTTCCTTCTCAAAACAGAAATACAAAAGTCAGAAAGATTGTTGCTTTCCGACTTTGATTGAAGGGACTATTGGAGGTGGTTTGCCTAATTCCTACCAACAATAAAGTAGTGGAGACAAATAACACTCTAACGAGAGTGATCAAAGTCACGCCTTCAATCTCTTTCCTACCATTTCCTTAACAATCATGAAACATGAATATAGCCAAAGGTGCCAAAACATCACCACCAGACATTTTGCGTGTATGCATGTGATGTGATCAAACGATCACTAGCTCACTCTTTGGTCTAACGTCAACAAGCAACATGAACACTGGAAATTATAGAAAAGGAAAACGATCCAACCATTCCCAGTCAATATTATAAGTACTACACTAGTCATTAGATTATTATTGTTCATCTCCCACTGTTCAATCGTCGGTCAAGAGGAAGAGAAGTTCGTTAAAAACTTACGAGGAACCCCATTACATAACTACCATGCAATTGAGGAAGAAGTTTCACTCTTCTCATTGACCACACAGTTGACTCTTGCCTAAATACCGGAAAATAAAGAATATGTTGAATAGCTAGGAATGACAAGATACATGGTGAAATAGTCAAACCCAATATAGTAACCTTCTGAATTCAGACTGTTCATGTGGGCCCCAGCGTTGGGTTAATCACTTCGCTTATATAATTAGTTAAGTTGATTAGCCTGGAACCACCATTTTGTTCCCCGGAGCCCGTAGGCCTATAATAATAGTCGAGTAAGTCCAAGTTAATGTTGGTTGTTTGTTTCTTCTTCTATGTTTCCTCGACCAACTCCTTTCCATCGGCAGGCACTAGCGTTCTACAGCAAGCATGTATCATGGTCAAATTAATTGCAGTTTCTAACAACGAAGCATGCATGTCATTTCCTCGTAATTTAATAGTTCCCGTCTCTCTACCTGAGAATATGGAAATAGTATTAGCATGTGCAATTTAGGGATTTGTGAGTTTGTCTTCTTTTTTTTTTTTTAAAAAAATAGTTTGTAATGGGTGATTGCAAGACAGAAAATATAGGGGAAAGAAGAGAAGAGTGTAGGCAGACAGATAATGATGGTTTGGTAGGTCATTTGATATGATGTATGGGTAACGAAAAAATAGAGGTAAAAAAAAAAAGAAGAAGCTCAAGGCATAAAAATAAGCTTGATGAATATGTGAAACTGAATATCCTACCGCTTGTATCGAATTAGGCACGACATTTTAAATTTTAAATTAAAATAATATAATCCTCTTTTAAATTATATATATTTATAAAACTGCGAACAATTGTTTAGTCAAATAGTATTATAACTGGTCTTCAACCTTAATATTTGATTTTCGAATCCTTAAAATAATACTAACAATTAAAAAATGCTATATTACCATTATGAAAATAACCTACACTTCCAAAACATTGGATTAATAGCCTAAAGTAAACCAAATATAAGAAAAAAAGTCGGTCAATGGAAATTATCATCCCCACTCTAATAAAAAGAATCTCTAAAATTCTAATGGTTGGGCTTTCTCCAGTTCGAATTGGGCCATACTACTTCAGGCCCATGTTTTTTAAATGTGGTTATCATTTGATTTTGCAAATCCTATTCCACTGCTGAAGCTTACTCGCGTTTGCTTTGTTCAAATTGTGCTTTCTCGAATCGGCAGCAGATTGAACTTCCCGCCGCACGGAAAAATGGCGGCCACTTCCACTCCAACACTCCCCAGCTTCCTCGGCATCGGATCGATCCTGTCGCAGTCACCAATCTCTCGCCGCCGGGGGTAAGCCAGCCTTAGTTTCTTCACCTTTACTTTCTCAATGCAAAGTCGTTCACTCTCGTTAGTTTCTTCACCTTTACTTTCTCACTCGGTGAGAATTTGCTCCGCAGAAGCCTGAATTTCCGCAGAATCGGAAGAGTTTCAAGCAGTGTCTCCTGCGACTACTCTTGCTTCGAAGTGAGCTTCTCATACTTCCTTTTTCTTTCAATTCTGGAGTGCCCGAGGGCTCAATTTCGCTCATTCCGTTCTCGTTCCAGGTTAGAAATGTTAGGTATAGACCTCCCGGAACGGAGGTCGACCTTCTGAACGATGTCAGTTTTTCTCTCCCAGAAAAGAGGTACTACTGATGAGTTTATTTTCAATTTCTGCACTTGATCCTGTTCTGGTTTACCTGCTGGTAGAGAAATTTTGGTTCCATTTTGTGCCTTCTTTTTTGTAGCTTTGGCTTGATTTTTGGGCAGAGCGGTAGCGGGAAAACTACTCTTCTGCAGGTAATAATGATGTGGTTCCTACTCTTGGATAAATGTTCCATCAATGTCGCTAAAATTTGTGATTGTATTAGTGATCAGTGATGTTTTTTTTTTTGGGGGCGGGGGCGTTTCTGGTGACAGCTTCTTGCTGGATTGAACAAGTCTACTTCTGGTACCATTGACATCCAAAGGTACAAGGGTGATGGCAGCCGAAGTAGTGACTATCCCAAGCCTCTTCCTCCAGAAAGAGTCGGGATAGTCTTCCAGTTTCCTGAGAGGTATTGGGTGAGATAGGGTTTAAATGTATCTTGTTGAGTATTCCTGTTGTATGTTAGATGTATGCCGCCTGCATTCGCTGTGAGATAAGCATTTATACTGTCAAATTGGAGAAGTTATGCGAATCCTTCTTGTTGCTGCTAGGTATTTCGTGGCTGATACAATCCTAGAGGAAGTTACGTTTGGATGGCCGAGGCAAAAAAGCAGTCTTCAAGTGAGGGAGCAGCTTGTTTCACAACTTCAAACGGCTATTAATTGGGTAAATGAATGGTTTTGGTTGTGATTTTGAGCAGTGTCTCTCTTTCTTTTTTTGCTGATCTTGCTTTGAATAAATTGGAACCTTAGGTTGGTCTGAATGGAATTTCTTTAGATAAAGATCCTCATTCGCTGAGTGGTGGATACAAGCGCAGGCTTGCCCTAGCTATTCAATTAGTGAGTATTGAGGAATTTAATTCCTGATGTATTTCGTCATGGTAATGGTATGACTTAGTAATGATTATCATTTTTTTAATGTTCAGGTGCAAGTACCAGATCTATTGATACTGGATGAGCCTCTTGCTGGTCTTGGTATGTATTCATCATGTAATAACTATAACATTTGTACTTGCTTTGTGATAATGGATAATCAAGCATACGTGAATATTGCTGTATTCCACTGTTCCACTGTCATCTAGGATGTGGGTGCCTTGGGAGCCTTTCAGTGATTTTCTACATTTTGCTTCATAAACACAGCGACACATGTATCCTTTGATTGGTCATTGGCTCCTATCTATTGGTCTCTGAATCTCTCTTTTTTGGAAAGGGAGAGGTAGATCACTACCGAGGCAGTTTAGCTACTTCAGTCAACTTTAACTTGGGGTTCTTAAATGATCATGGTCAACAACCTTAATTATTGCAATCATTAGCAACATTTCACCTATTGTTTGGGAGAAATTAATTTTCCACCATGATTAATCAAAGGAGCATGCAAGTAGTTGTACGAAGAATTGAATGTTTGTTCCATGAGTTATTTTCATGTCTTTAAATGTCTCTCAGATGCTCTGCTGCCTTTCCTGTGAATTTTTCCTTTGCACCAGATTGGAAGGCACGGGCAGATGTTGTAAAGCTGTTGAAACATCTGAAGAAAGAGTTAACTGTATTGGTAGTCAGTCATGACCTTAAGTGAGTGGAAACTTTTCTTTTCTGTTATGCACTGAGGGACAGTATTGCTTATATACTTCTCAGTCCTTCATCATTGTTACTTGGGTGATTCAGTATTTCTTGTTCATGACTTTTCTCTTGGATATGAGCATTTAAGAGAGTTGTTTGTCAAATAATAATCATATATGTCTTCATTCTGACTGAACCTTATCTTAGTCGTTAACTTATATTTTGTTGGGGTTGAGAGAGGAGGTTGGGCTGGGCGTACCTGCTGGAATACACGGCATAGTTTCTTGAATTCTACAGTGCACTTTTTGCACTGTTTTAGTAAATTTGGCCAGTTCTTGATGGGATTATGTTCTGCTGGTTTCTCCAAATGGTGTTACATAGGTTGCGAGCTAAGCTCCCCTAGCAGATCATCATTATTCTTCTTTTTACAAGCCTGTACTTGCTTATGGAATCTTTGACTTTTCATGCTTTATTCTTCCAGAGAGTTCACCTCGCTTGTTGATCATTCTTGGAGGATGCAGATGGGAGGGTTTCTCCAAAAGGAGCTTCTTCCATTATAAGCTAGGAAGCCTCCCGTTCTTCACTAAGTACCAAGCTGACATACTTCAAGGTTCGAATGCCTGACATTTCTTTCCTTTATGTTTAGGAAATGTAATAAGTGCAATCAATTGGCATCAATGGCCTTTGGCAATGCATTGGATTATATTGGTAGTACATGGGCAACCTCAAATCTTCTGATGTAGACTGTGCATCCCATTCAAAACTTAAATTTTTATTGAACTGGGTATCAATCGAGAAGGCAGTGTATTGAGAGAGCGTGCGTAGGTTGCATCTAGGGCTGATTGATGAACTGGTCTGACTGGATCATGATTCATGATCCTGGCTCTATATAAGGATAAATAGGGAAGATTCTGAAGGAGCTTCACATGCCTCAACCACCACACCACACATTCTATATTGTAACCCCGTATTTTCATTTGTGATCCCTAAAAAATTCGTTGCATGCATTATTATTATTATTGTTACTGTTATTTAGGAGAACCGATCCATGATCTTGTTGCTCGTGGGGTTCTTTATATCTTTTCTCCATGGTGTCGCTTTAGTTCAATCTCTTGCGACTTACAAAAAGAAAAGAAAAAAATCATATAGATTGTTTCTTTCAGTTCTGTTATATAATGGAATTCCCATAATTCTTTTCTTGATTAGCATTTAAAAGGGAGTTTCTTGGTAGTATGCATGGGCTCCTCACATTAGCACAGTAAATTTAAATCCTTTGCCAGCGCTGTGTTGTACCAATTGTTTGAATTAGGAACGTGCTTGGCATCTGAGTTTTATTTTTTGAGGTGGGGTACTTATCTGTTAAATGAGGATCAAAAGTTTCGAATGGAACTTGCAGTTAGCAAAGCATTTCTGAATCACACCTGACAATTGCTTTTCATATAAACTCGAGCTTAACATTTTTATTTTACAATATAAAGAGGAAGGATGTCCTTGCTCTCCTGTCTTTCCATTCACTTTAGTACAGTACATCACAGCTCAATCACTCGCAAATGCTTAATAAACACAGATGAAAACAAGTATGCAACCCAAGCTGATACATCTTGATGATCTTAGTTCCTTTGCTCAAGCTCCAGCACTAAGTCTGCAGTTGCAACACCAAAATGTTCATCAATACTAATGGCTATATGTTATAACCCAAAAAAAAAAAAAAAGAGCAAGTATGTAAAATTTTCCATATTCTAGTGAGTTGTGCAGTTGACACATTGACTGTGATTGCAACTTTTGAGTATTGCAAAACTTTTATTGACTGGTCGTAATCTTATGCATGGGTGAAAAATAATATCGTTTTCAGTACTTGACTGCATCTAAGAATGTTATGCTTTTCATACATGAGCTATGATTAGCTAGCACTCACAGTCAGCATCAGTTCTAATCCAGTGCTCTGTATTTCCGCTAGACTGGCTGCTACTAAGACCAAACTCGGGCTCTTTCAAGCTGTTCTCGTAATTGGCGGTCCTTCGAATTGAACTGTACTTCGGATTAATGTCATGCCTGGCCTTTAGTCGCTCCACCCAGGATGTGGTTGAGTGTTTTGCACCCGTAGAGTCCTCAGGGTGCACTTTTCGACAGAACATTTTAAGCACCTGAATGCCAAACATGGAATAGATAAATGAGTCAGCTAGATATTCTGCATTTTCATGATGAGCTCATGCCTTCTGAAGTACTGTTTCATCTCTGTAAACCTCTCTGTTTTCCCCTTCTCCATGAACACAATACTTCTAGTTGTTAGATACCCAGTGATATTGTCAGCTCATTTCGCATGTGTTCTCTAACTTTCAATTAAAAGTCAGGCAATGCGATATGGTGGAGTCACAACTATGTTATGATCTTTCTGAACTTGTAAGTGGAAAGGCAACCAACAAAATGAATTTTCAAATATAAGCATCTCTTTCTATGACTGAGTCATATATTTGCAACCTAAATATTCTGCTTGTTGCCCTTTCTCTTGGTTGTTGGTGCAATGTCCTTAAGTAAACAACATCCATATGCCTAGTTCTTCCCAATTCAATGCTATCAGTCAGATGGCTAATTGTTTTTTCCCACTAGCTCTTTGTCTTATATGTTAGGCAAGAGTACACACCTTGTTAGTTTTTTTCTTGGTGGGGATAGTTTTGTCAGCATCATCCTGAGAAGTTTTCTTTCCTGGAGGAGCATGAATCTTCTTCAGTATCTTTTTGAGCAGGAGTTTGACAGATTTTTTGTCTTGCTTGGGAGGCATCTCAATTGGAGTGTTGTCATCAGTAAGTTTCGTCCTGCGGAAGATCTCTCCAAGTGATAACTTTTCCTTCTTTTTTTCTGCTCTTGTTTCTGGCAATTCAATGGACGACCCAAATAGATAACCTTGCAGTGGACTTACTATTGACTTTTCATTGCCTCCAGCTTCCTCTACTTGCATGCCACTGAGTGTGATAATGCTAACATAACTGCTTCTAGCCAATGCATCTTCAGTGCCTTGTACTTCTTCTGCCTCAGCCTCTAGAAATTTTTCTAGCTCATCTCTTATGAGATTCAGGTCGTTCTCTGTCACTTCTATATTTTCTTCTGCAAGGTTATCCTCCTCCAAAGATGCTGGGAATGTCGGTGTTGCAGGGCTGCTGGTGATTTGTTCTGAACCAAGAGTTCCAATGGCTAAAAAGCCATGGAAAAGGTCAGAGCTGAGAAAAGCAGTGTCACCTTCATTGGTGACACCAATACCTGCAATTTCAGTCCCACAGGAATAGGCTTCGAGTCTCTGGGTATGCTCACTCAAAGTGTTGTACCTGATTCTGGATTCAGAACTTGGTCTTACAGGGGAGAACTGGTCATCGAGTGATGATGGTGCTGAAAGGCAAGTACAACAGTTTGCTGAAGATGAAGTATTGGAAAAAATTAACAGAATCTGGAACAGGGTATGTATTTGTCTTAAGTTCACTGATAGGATACAAGTACACCCATCTATTAGCTAAATCATTCTCTGAGGAGTTAATTAGACATTTGAATTCTATTTGATGCACACAAAGCCTAATATTGAATACCACAGAAGCTACTGTAAAAAAAAAAAAAAAAAATACCACAGAAGCTCATACACGTACTCACATGCACAAACATACTGTTCTAGGAATGATAATGCAAGCGCACATATGTAGGGTTTTGGCCACTCTAAGAAACTTCAAAAAGTTTCACTTTGTTTTGAGAGAAAAAGCCATTTTCATTGCAAAATACATCTCTGGATAATTTAGTCTTGAAGTCAAACCTGCTCCTGAGAATGATACAGATTTGTACATTAGGCCGGTCGATGGAATATCATTGCTAAATGGATATATTTTGGGGTTATCTTGATGGTAAAGCACATGTACCATGATGGTTAGAAAATAAACAGTAGTAAAAGGAAAGCTTCTTTACCTATTGGAAAATCCTTGAAATGCTCAGCTTTCGTTTGCCGAAGTTTATCGTGCATCCAACCAAGGAACTGCAACAAGCAAATGAAACCTAAGTGTTAGATTCAATCATGTTTTGATATACTAAGAACAGAGATAAAAGTAGTACTTACCCTCATTTTGCTCTTTCACCTAAGGGTCTGTCCTTAGATTGCTTTCTTGGTCATATGGACTGATGAATATATATGTCTGTTATGCTGGAGAAAATTGAGATGCTGTAGAGATGTGGATAGCCAAGACCAGCATACGAGGATCTTTTCAATAATGACTCCTCTATGATTGCGTTCAGTTGGTGCTTAAAGGGTCCGACACAGACATAGGCAGAGAAAAACATATAGATGCATACAAGTTTTTGGTTGGCTGTTCTTTGTCAATATCAAATCAAGTAGAAGAATTAAGGAGTAGTTGGGAGTACTGCAAGTTGTGCGGTAATGCTGTGCATGTGATATTGTTTTCAGTCAAATTAATCCTAATCGATGTAGTAAATTGTGGTGTTGCATTTGGTTTTGTTTTGCGGAGTACATTTTGCTTATGAACACGATATGCGAACAAGGTGAATAATGATAACTTAATCACATATTTGTGCTCATTTATTTGCAACAAGTACGATTATGTTTTTTTTTTCATTTTATGCTTAAGTTATATTAACCTGTACTTGGTGCTAAATACGCTTGTGCTGTCATAGAAACTGGTAAATCATGCATTTGGTTGCAGACTTTTAAGTTACTCCACTGAATCTTCAGTTGGAAAGTCTAGGTTTATTGAACTTCAACCCTTAAGTCAGGAGGCTTTATCAATACTTAGTATACTTTTACTCATTTATTTAAACTAATTATCCCCTTTATGATATCCCTGATGCTCATCAATTTAGGCATTTCCATGCATGTTTAAACTAAGTAGACATAAGGAGAAAATAATAAATAAAAAGAGAAAGGTTGCCTGTAATAGCTGCGAGGACATGTTCCTTTGAAACCTAGATTAAGACTCATATTTCAAGGATATATAACTTCAGTAGGGCTTGTTAATTGGAGAATTTCTTATTAGGAGCCTAAATTTTAAAATGGTTTAAACCTTTGGTTGATTGGATCTTATTAGCATGTTTTGACATGGGTATGTATGAATGAACAGGCTCTGTAGAAGTGTCGGGTTTTTTTCTTCTCAAAAGAAACCAACTCTTAAGTGGCAAGTTTAGTTTACCCCCATGGTAACAGATATTTGCTGGTCAGTACTCATTATTACTGCATGATACGTTCATTTATTGGGGACACCATAAAGTGAAAAGATGGTTATCTGAGCCTTTTTGGCAAGTCATGCTTCTGTCTCATACTTCTAACTGCAACATTGTTTTGTCTCTGCACTTTGTGTCTCTTGCATGAAATAACTCTGTTTCTATTATGAAAATGTTGAGAGTCGGACCGTTTCAAGTGGGAACTGACTATCTTCTGTTGTTGTATACCCTCATGATTATCATCATTTTCCCAGTGCTCAATATCCTTCCCTGTCGTCCTTACCTTTTTTCCTTATGTCGTGACTCATTGGGTCTTTTTCTTCACTTTTTTCTGATGTGTACATAGGATTGAACACGTCCATGTCATCTGTAATGGTCTTTGTTGTCTCGATGCTTGCGGGTATTTGTTCATGGGACACCTGTTCTAACATGATCATGTTCTCCCTGTCAGGTAAACTAATTTTCAGGAAGGTCCAGTACTCCAAAGGATGGGCCTAATTAGTGAGTTTTCTTTCTTTCCTTTGTCGGATGTCTTGTACAATTCTTCCATGTTCCTTGCCCTTTTGGCAACTATAAAGTGCCTTTCCCCATTGTTTCCATTTCCTTAGAAATGTAGCTGGTGCTTGTCATGGAATCACTAGGTTGATTACTCGTACGTCTGTCTTGTAGTGTCATAGCTAAAATCTTGAATTATCAGGTGCCCTCCTTTCCCTTTCCTCTCATTTAATCGAAAGGCAGCCCCTCATGAAAACAGGTGTATGCTCGTTGTATATGCTGGACAGACCATAGCCCTCTGAGTGGCAGAAACTGTCTACCCTAAGCTTGCTGGGAAACACCATGTCCCATTTGAACAATGGAGAGCATTAACTAGCATGAAAAATGTTAAGCTTAGTTTGCTATTTAGTTTTTTTTTCCCCGCATTAGAATCTATACTCGTCATGATTATCAACTTTGCTTCATGATTGCAATGACCTACGGATGTTTGTCTGCTACTTTCTTTCAGGAACTGTAACCTTTTCTGCCGAGAGATAGTCCAAGGTAAACACAAATTGCTTATAGTAACTTGCTACATATTGCTTTGATATCTGCTCTGCATTCACAGTTCCCTGTGGACCAATAGACCACTGCTTTAAAGCATCATTGAATTAGTTTAAAGAGTTTCAAGAATCTGCTAGGAAAATATTGCTTTGGGAGCAGTTCCAGGTTGCATAAAGAAGTTAAATGAGTCTAAAAAATCTGCTATCGAGTTGAAGTGCCTTAGTGGTTAGTTTCTAGAGAATGAACATGAGAAGTGAGAACCCTACCATTCCCATTCAGAAAAATATGGTTACTCGGGAACTAATCGTACAGAATAATACGGATTTGATTTGATGGGTTGTTAAGTGAAGCAACGTAACCATGGAACTGCATTATTGCAAAAACACATTATGATGGAGAGACAACCCTGACTGCAACCTGTCACAACCTAACCTTGTCGATGAGGGATCTTACATTTGAGGAAAAGAACTGGGAGCTAGAGAACGAAGGAGTTTTGCCACGTTTTGAATGTCTCTTTTAGGCGCACCACTAAACTACAAAGGGATAGTGGCTATGCTTTAGGGCTGTATATAACAGGTGGTCGACTGGTGAAATAGAGAAATGCAGGTTGTATAGTAAACAATGATGAATGGTCTATATAGACTGGAAGCAGACATGTAATTTTTAAAGTTTGTGTACCTGCAGGTGCAGGAGACATAACTAGAAGTGGGGTGGCAAATAGCTAAGGGCCTTGAATAACCTTCTGGTATATTTTGAGAATGCATGCATTTCGGTTTCCAGGTAATATGACATACAGTTGTTTGTTTTGTTGTCATGCTTTTTATTGTTATTTAGTTTCCCCCTTCATTCATCTCAATGCTACCCTTTGTCATTTAGACGATGTTCTCATTTCAAATGCATGTATTTCCCTTCATTTATCTCAATGCTGGAATTTTCAGTCTGATTTAGGCAGTTTTCTCATTTCAAATACATGCATTTTTACGGTAGGAAAACACACCCCCAATGATTATGATCCCCATTACCTAGTGATATATATCAAGGGAAAGGTAGTATAGTCTATGCATTACTTCTCCAGCACAACGGTCACCAAACCAAGCCAAACACAAAGCGTCCAAACTTGCGAGTCATGTAGGTAAGGGCTGATGTCTGAATAAGCTCGAATGTTTTCTGTGTGGAATGACTTTAACGGTGTTGATTGATTGAGTAGAGTCCATGTGGAACCCTCGTGCGAATACCTAAGATCGCGGCGGGTTCTTCTGCCCATTCCTTATTGGCACACGCCTTGAATTTGTTCTTTGGAGTAGAGACAGGAGTTCCTGTTTGTGGTCACATCAACAATCACTAGTTTCTAACCCACTTAGGATTTTTATTTTTATTGACGTTTCAAGCAATGCATTCCCATATGGTGGTTAGCACTGAATGGTAGTCGTCGTAGCAAATGGTCACAAGTGTCATTGACGGAGGGTCTACCTATCTTGGCTGAACCATCAAGATACATGGCAGCCTTAAATTAAGTTCATCTTCTTGCCATTTATTGATATGATTCTCTATTGAGATAATTAAGTTCATAGTATAGTACTAACCTATTTGCAAGGCACTGTATGGTCCAATGCCGTTTTTCTTCTCCTTATAAAGAGCTAAGTGAGTTAGATAAAGTTGGATCCAAAAGCAGTTGACTTGGATAAGATTGATTTTTGGTTATGCAACATCTTTATTGTTAGTTTTAGCATTTTGAAAGTTTTGACCAACAACTCAAATGTGAATCATGCAAAATAGAGGATTACACCCTGAGGTGTTCACATTGGGAACCTGCTCTAACAACTCCCCTACAGGCTATAGCACACAAGCCAGCAGAAAGAAAACAAGAATCTTTAGTGCCATACTCTTGGGAATAAGGACAGAGAACACCATCCACCCGCAAATGCACAACTACCGTGCAAGTTGAAGGATTGTATTTGTGCCCATTGCCTAGTGCCTTCCTCAATGATAGATAATGCATTTGTTATGTGCTGAAGAATTGGTAGTATAGTTGAATGAAGTTTTTTTATCATTTGGCCTCCTTTCTTTTCCAAAAGCAGTTATGCCCATCCGGTAGTGTCTTCAAAAACCACTTGTTTACCAGTTTGTATTCCAGTTTAATAACGATTCGATCCGAAATAGGTTAATACCTGAAATTCTCTCAATTAGGCATAGCCTTTGTTTACAGTTTTTTAATTTAAGACGGTTCTCTTTGTGGTCAAATCAGGATATATATTACTGAAAGTGTACGTCCTGCATTGTGCGTTTGAAGATGTAAGCTGCCAACCATGAAATCAATGTATAACCCCACCGTCAAGAGACAAAGGTAAGCAATCAACTATCTTACACATTGTCGTCACTTACAAACTGTTGGTAAACCATAACAGAAACACACCAGCACCTCTGACGTCTGTCGCAAGGGAAACCGTGGCTGCACGTGCATGGCTATGCGCACAAAGTTGGGCCGGTTTATAGGACATGGATCGTTTATGGCTCTCTTTATATGCTGGGCTGAAGGCCCAAGCTTACCATTCTCGAGGGACGTGAATGGGTTCGCTGATGCCAGGGCCGCCCAGAATTGACGAAATAGCTTTGGGCCTTTGAAACTTGAAACTCCAGTCAACTATAAATATCCTCACAAAATAAAATTATAGGAGGATAACGGTAGCGGCTCACGTCACGGTCGCTAAATCCATCGCCCATGCATGAATGCGAAAAAATCCCCGTCAACACACTCCCCATGCATAAATTAATTGACCATCCTTTTCGCATGATCTATGAAATCGTACCGTAGAAGCAGCGATCCTTTTCAGACCCTTTGATATCATGGACATTCACAAAGCTATCTTTGACATGAAACCTCTCCAAGCTCCTGGGCCCGACGGCTACCATGCGGCTTTTTATCAGCACTTCTGGAAGGTGGTGGGACGGTCTTTGTCAGATATGGCTATGTCCTTTTTCCAGAATGGTGTGCTCCCAGAAGCAGTGATGGAGTCTACTCTGGTGCTTATCCCAAAGGTTGACTCTCCGGAGCGGGTCACTCAGCTGAGGCCGATATCCCTCAATAATGTCTGCCTCAAGAGCATCACGAAGGCCATGACCAGCAGATTGAAGCCGCTGATGAGGAAGTGGATTTCGCCCAGACAGAGCAGTTTCATTCCTGGCAGGCAGACGTCTGACAACATCATTGTAGTTCAAGAGGTCCTTCACTCCTTCAGGAAGCGGAAGGGTAAGAAAGGTGGTCTGGTTTTTAAGATTGACCTCGAGAAGGCGTATGACAGGTTGAGATGGGATTTCCTGCGGGATACGCTTAAGGAAGTTGGGCTATCCAGTAGCTGGATTAGCTGCATCATGTATTGCGTCGAGCATAACCGGGTGAGGATTAGATGGAATGGCGAGCTTTCCCAGCCATTCACACCGTCTCGAGGAGTGCGACAGGGAGACCCTCTTTCTCCCTATCTTTTTGTCCTTTGTATGGAAAGATTATCCCATAAGATTGATGAGGCGGTTGCTAGCGGACAATGGAAAGCCGTCAGGCTGACCAGTTCCGGCCCGCCACTGACTCATCTCTTTTTTGCAGATGATTTACTTCTTTTTGCAGAGGCTGAAAGCCGCCAAATCCGAGTCATTAAACAGATCCTGGAGGACTTTTGCTACAGCTCTGGTCAACGAGTGAACTTCAGCAAGTCGATTTTATATGTCTCCCCCAACATCCCCCGGCGGAAAGCAGAGCTTCTTAGCACGCGTGCAGGGATCCCCCTCAAGGCGGCTTTGGGAAGATACCTCGGGATTCAGGCTATCCATGAACGGGTTACTAAGGGGCGGTACCAGTCACTTCTGCTGCGTATCCAAAAGAAGATGGCTCCCTGGAAGGCTAAACGCCTTTCTTTCGCCGCCCGACTCACGGTGGCAAAATCGGTGACTGCTTCTCTCCCTGTTTATAATATGCATACAGAGTTGATCCCGAGTGGTGTGTGCAGGTCAATTGACAAGATCAGCAGAGACTTTATCTGGGGAGATGAAGAGGAGAAAGCTAAGATGCACCTCGTGGCTTGGGAAACTTTAACTAAGCCGAAGGACTATGGAGGTGTAGGACTAAGACAGACTAGACAAGCCAATATTGCTATGCTCGCTAAAGGTTGTTGGCGGATGCTTCAGGAGAAGGAGAGCCTTTGGTCCCGTATCCTCTACTCGAAGTATGGTGGGAAGCGACAGGGTTTGGACATCTTCCGCAAGAGTCAGGGAAGTTCCTTCACCTGGAATAGCTTATTGAAAGCTGCGGACCTGTTTAAGAAAGGTTGTGCTTGGAATATTAAGAATGGGAGACGGACTAAATTCTGGTTGGATCCGTGGATTTTGCAGGTACCACTTAAAGAGGAAGCCAATGGAGTTATTCCGGGAGACATGGAGACGGCGACTGTCGCCGATTTTGTCAGTGATGAAGGCACCTGGAGGACCGAGCTGTTCACTGATCTCTTGCCCCCAGAAATCAGCAATAAAGTCCTGAGTACGGCGGTGGACACCCTCTCGCAAGTTGAGGACTCTCTGTTTTGGCACGAATCCACTGATGGTCGCTTCACTACAAAGTCGGCTTACACGTTGTTGACCAGGCAGGATGAACAGGTACACGATGGAATCTGGAAGGTTGTTTGGAGGCTGGCAGTGCCGGAACGGATCCGGGGTTTCGTTTGGCTGTCTTTGCAGGGGAGGATCACCACCAACGCCATGCGGTTTGAAAGGAAAGTTGCGGATTCGCCTTGCTGCATCCGGTGCATTGGGCAACCTGAAACCATAGTCCATTTATTGAGAGATTGCCCTCCAGCAATGTACTTTTGGAGCAGAGTTGTCCCACAGCAGAATCAGGTCCTGTTCTTCTCGACAAATCAGAAGGACTGGCTGCGCAGTAATCTATTGAGCAAAGAGGTCACGTCTTCGGGCATTGATTGGGCGTCCTTCTTTAGCATGTCTATCTGGCTGATTTGGAAGAATCGAACGGTGGCTTCGTTCAAGGGAGTTGGGGCAGCCTTGACAGCTCCATCCCTCACCCATTCGATTCTTGTCAAGAGCAAGTTGTGGAATGATTCTTGGCATGCTCCGAGCCTGTTGTTGAACCATAGGATGCAGCGGGGTGATCGTGTGACTGTGAGTATCGGGTGGAACCCCCCGTCGGAGGGTTGGCACAGCAACGGCGGCTGCTGCAGTTTTGTGGCGAATATTGGCACAGCAACGGCGGCTGCTGCAGAGTTGTGGGCCATTTACTATGGCCTTGAGATGACTTGGAAACTCGGCTTTCGGATGGTGAGGGTGGCATCGGATTCACAGCTTGCCATTCATTTGATCCAGAACCGACATGATCCTATCCACCCTTATGCTACTTTGTTGGGTCTTATTCGCAGGAAACTCAGTCAGGATTGGTTGGTTAGCCTTTCTCATACATACCGCGAAGGGAATAGAGTCGCGGACTGGCTCTCGAAGCACAGTCTCGTCTATCCCTACGGGTTGCATGAGTTGGCAAACCCGCCTCCTAGTGTTATCCCTTTGATCCGGGAGGACGAGATGGGTACTACCTTTGAGTGCCGTGTTGTGGCGAGCTCTTCTTCCTCTGCCTATTCCCCCTTGTAATCTTCTTCTTGGCTTTGGCCTCCGATTAATGCAAAAAAAAAAAAAATAAGTAGGCAATTAAAATCTCCTAACTACCTACTGCTTCCTCTCTCTCAATTGACGTCTCTCAATTGACGGCTCGGCTCTCAGTCTCTCACCACGAGTCGGATGCTCAGTTGCGGGATATTGCTCAACACCTAATCCAAACCCAATGGAATCCCTTTTCTTCCTCCTCCTTTGCAGATCTCTCGCTTTTTCTCTAAATCTGAATCTTCCCGAAGAAAAAAAGGAACCACCTCCGCCGCCATTTTGGCAATGGGGACCGAGATATCCGAATCCCTGCTCCTGGACTCCGCCGGCACCGTCCCGGTCGAGCGGGTGCCGGAGTGGAAGGAGCAGATCACGGTTCGGGCCCTTGTCGTGAGCGCGTTGATGGGCGGACTGTTCTGCGTCATCACGCACAAGCTCAACCTCACGGTCGGAATCATCCCCTCGCTGAACGTCGCCGCCGGGCTACTCGGCTTCTTCTTTGTCAAGTCCTGGACTGGAGTGATGTCCAAATTAGGGTTCAGCGTTGTTCCTTTCACCAAGCAGGAGAACACGGTGATCCAGACTTGCGTTGTCGCAATCTACGGCCTCGCCGTCAGCGGTATATAGCTTCTTCGTGGTTGCCTGCTTCCTGACTTTGAAATTTGGTTTTCATAGTGTTACTTGTTGATGTTGTTGATCATGGTTGGTAGGTGGATTTGGTTCCTACTTGATTGCTCTGGACGAGAAGACTTATGAATTGATTGGGAAGGATTATCCTGGGAATCGGCCGCAAGATGTAATGAACCCTGGACTAGGATGGATGATTGGGTTTATGTTCGTGGTCAGCTTTCTCGGGCTCTTTAGCCTGGTTCCACTCCGCAAGGTAGCTCATTTATCCATTTCGAACACTGTCATCATTGAATGTTTGCTAATATGTGTTGTGTGGAGAAGTTGAAGTTCCAAATTCAGCATACAATTCGAGCTTAAAGTGTGAATGTGGTTACTGATGAAAGGATTCAATATTTTGGACATTTTGTACATTTGTGTTCTCTGTTTTCCTCTGTTCTAACTGCAGTGATTAGATTCAATTGGAGATGACTAAATGGCTAAATTGTTCGTTTGGATGCTAAATGTTAACTGTGTGACTTCTTATGCTCTGCATGGAACCGAATTATGGTTGGGTTGATGGTCGGCTTCTTCTCTAAATACTGGTTCTTATTTTGATGATAGGTTATGGTAATGGATTACAAGCTTACTTATCCAAGTGGGACTGCTACGGCAATGTTGATCAATAGTTTCCATACAGACAATGGAGCTGAGCTGGCTGGGTGAGTGAGTTTTGCAATTACTATTCAGTCCTTGTGTTTATCTGAAATTAAGGGCTCGTTGCTTTTTAACCTTTTTTTCTTCTTCTTTAACCCTTCCACTGAATTACAGGAAGCAAGTCCAGTGTCTTGGGAAGTACTTGAGCATGAGTTTCGTATGGAGCTGCTTCAAATGGTTCTTCAGTGGTGTCGGAGACTCGTGTGGATTTGGCAAATTCCCAAGTCTTGGTCTCACGCTTTTCAAGAACTCGTAAGTTGCTGCAACTTTTTCCTAATTTTGGCGGGACTAAACAGTTCGTCTATTTGGGCATCAGTGTTATTCTTACTTGACTTTGTAGGTTTTACTTCGACTTCAATCCTACTTATGTTGGATGCGGTCTTATTTGTCCACACATAGTTAACGTCTCCTGTCTTTTGGGAGCTATCATCTCTTGGGGCTTCCTGTGGCCCTTCATCTCTGAAAAATCTGGTGACTGGTATCCAGCTGACCTCGGTGGCAATGATTTCAAGGGGCTTTATGGATATAAGGTACGGTAGTAAACAGCTTGAGTCTCTTGTCTCGTTTTACATTTCTCAGGCTTCATGAACAGAGATTCTGTCCATTGTTAAGACACGAGTGGTTTCTAGAAGACCCAACTTACCCTTTTCAACAGTGTATTCTTTGTCATGAAATCATTTCTGGAATGAGATGTTCATTCGTGCTTTGTTTTTGTTTGCAGGTCTTCATACCTATTGCTATCATTCTCGGGGATGGACTCTATAATCTAGTTAAAATTATTTATTTTACTACCAAGGAATTGCTGAATAAAAGCACCAAAGAGCACAAGCTTCCTGTTGCAACTGAGATTCAAGGCAAGGATTCTGATTGTCTCTACAAAGCGACTTGTTCACTTAGGCGCATGCCTGATCTTTTGAATTGAAGGAAACAGTTTGAAGCTTCATATTTTGACTTGAAGGAAATATGTGTCTATCTTTACATCCCAGATGAGGAGACTTCAAAAGTGCTACTACAGCAAAAACAAAGAGACTCGGTATTTCTGAAAGACGGAATCCCCACATGGTTCGCTGCATCTGGATACGTCTGCTTAGCCGCAATCTCAACTGTCACAATGCCGGTTATCTTCCCACCTCTAAAATGGTACCTTGTCCTCTCCTGCTATATCCTCGCCCCAGCTTTCGCCTTCTGCAACTCCTACGGCACAGGGCTAACAGACTGTAACCTAACCGCCACCTATGCCAAAATTGGCCTCTTTGTCGTTGCCTCAGTAATTGGCCCTAATGGCGGTGTTGTTGGCGGGTTAGCCGCCTGTGGAGTAATGATGTCCATCATCTCGACTGCTGCTGATCTCATGCAGGTAAGGCTTGCTATCCGGTTTCAGTTTTCAAGTTCGGTCATAGCTCAAAAGCAAGCGTTCTGACGACTCTGGTTAACCACCCTCTGTATGTAGGACTTCAAAACGGGATACCTCACCTTATCCTCTGCCAAATCCATGTTCGTCAGCCAACTGATTGGAACAGCCATGGGTTGCATCATCGCCCCATCGACCTTCTTCCTGTTTTGGTCGACTTTCGATGTTGGTGCACCAGACGGGCCCTACAAGGCACCCTACGCCGTCATATTCAGAGAAATGGCGATACTTGGTGTGGAAGGGTTGTCGGAGCTCCCCAGGAACTGTCTGGCCATATCCTATTTCTCCCTCGCAGCTGCTTTTGTTATCAACCTGCTCAAAGACGTCGCTCCTAAGATCTCCCAGTTCATTCCCATTCCTATGGCAATGGCGGTCCCGTTCTATATCGGAGCTTACTTTGCAGTGGACATGTTTGTGGGGACGGTGATACTGTTCGTGTGGGAACGAGTGAATCGGAAGGATTCGGAGGACTATGCAGGGGCTGTTGCTTCTGGGTTGATATGTGGCGACGGGATATGGACTATACCGTCGGCGGTTCTTTCGCTGTTGAAGGTTAATCCGCCGATTTGCATGTCTTTCGGCCCTGCTTTGAGTCGCTGAGATTTGACGGAGGTAAAAGGCTTATCAAACTGCTCGCTGGAATTTGTCCATTAGCATCTCCATCAATGCAATTGCAAAATAAATGTTTGCAATTGCATTTGTGTTTTTATTGTGAACTCAAATTTTTTATAATTCACATTACATTTATTTCATTCATCTATATCAATGCAATTAACTTGCGATTGCAAATATAATTAAGTATTATGTTTAAATTATAGAAAATTAAGTGAAAGGGAAAAGAAAATAATATACTTTTTGACTTGCATATGGAATTGTATTTGTTGGAAGCTTGTAAATATGCAATTGGTAGCCACATCAATGCAATTGGTTTTGCAATTGCAAACACATGTCATGTGATTTTGTAATTGAGAATGCAATATCAATGTGATGCTCTTAGAATTATGATTGATTATTGCTAGAAGTGGGGTAGTGGGGTTAGTCAAGTAAAACCAAGAGAAGGGTTATCCTCTGCTCTGTATTCGTAGTGTTTAGCTTAGATTAACTTTAGCTTTTAGTATATCACAACTTGGTTTAGGTCGAAGAAGGTAGAGAAGAAAAATGTAAACTACGAAGACCGATGATAATCCTTCCCTTGGTTTTACTTGACTAACCCCACTACGAGATACTTTTTTATATAATAAATACTACGAGATACTTGTTGGAAGAAAAATATAGAGAACAAGTTCCTGAATGACCTCCTCTATGGTGAGAATAGAACCGCTTCATTTGTTCTCACCATTAAATGAATAGCTTCCTTTTATCAATATATATTTTCTCTATTATTCTTCTTTAGATTTTGTTATTTTTTTTCTTCGTAATTTTCCTCTGAACGTAACATATATCGTTGTAAGATAAGTCGTCTCTGGTCTATTTGAGAGCCTGTACACGTGTAGAAGTGTGTGCAAAGTTAAATATATGAGTGAGAAATATTGTTGGAAAAAATAAAATTAAAAGAGGATAGTGGTAGTGGTTCACATCTAATGATGGTAATTTGAAACCCCGTCCGGGTATTCCCGACCTCACCCGCAATGAGGCGGGTATTACCTGATCCACAGTAACGTGGGGCGGGGCATGGGTATCTACTTCCGATCCGTCCCATTCTTAGTCTATTATATCTCAATTCCTTACAATATCTATTCATATTTCTCATATTTAGACTTTTCTTTAACTAGTTAGATTTGATCTTTCAACTAGTTAGACTCAATTACCTATTATATTATCACTATTTTCATCTTTAAAGCGTTTTCTCTTCATTTTATAAAAAAAAGTAAAATTTACATATATTTTTTTCAAATAATAACAAGAAAGAGTTGGTCGCCTCGCTCCGTACCCGCATGATAATACCCGCTGTGACTCATTATAACATGGGACAAGACATGAATTGCTTCTTAGAACGTATTGATTTGACCCCATAAGCGGGACCACCACCCCATAGCATGTTGCCGCCAGAAACCCGTATTTCTTCTAAAAAATCTCCTAATTGTTCCAAAACAACTAGAAAGAGATTCTTTAACTTGAAAGAATTCAATTCAAATGTAGGATACCTCTCCCCGTCTCACCTCTCCCCATTGCATCACTACTCACATCACCGTCGCTAAAATCCATCGCTGATGTTCCTATAAAAAATCACACTCCCCAACGCATAAACAAGTTGATCATCCTTTTGGCGGTAATCGCATTCGTAACGGAACAGCCTCTCCATAACTACCTGTCGCTTTCTCACTCGATCCGACGGCCCTAGCTCTCACCACGTGTCGGATCCTCACTCGTTCGACCGCTAGCCTCCACTTCGGCAAAAATATATTGCGGGAAAATGTTCAACACCTACTCCACACCCAATCGAATCCCTTTTCTTCCTCTTCTCCAGATCTCTCGCTCTGTCTCCGGATCTGAATCTTAGCGGCTAAAAGGGAGTGTCCTCCGCCGCCGTTTCGGCAATGGGGACCGAGATATCCGAATCCCTGCTCCTGGACTCTGGCGAGGCGACCAAGGTCGCCGGCGGTGACATCCCGACCGAGCAGGTACCGGAATGGAAGGAGCAGATCACCATCCGAGGCCTGGTCGTGAGCGCGCTGCTGGGTGGACTGTTCTGCGTCATCACGCACAAGCTCAACCTCACGGTCGGAATCATCCCCTCGCTGAACGTCGCCGCCGGGCTACTCGGGTTCTTCTTTGTCAAGTCCTGGACTGGAGTAATGTCCAAATTAGGGTTCACCGTTGTTCCGTTCACCAAGCAGGAGAACACGGTGATCCAGACTTGTGTTGTCGCTACTTACGGCCTCGCCTTCAGTGGTATATAGCTTCGTGATTGCCTGCTTCCTGGATTTGAATTTTGGTTTTCCTTGTCTTAATTGGTGAAGTTGTTGATAATGGTTGGTAGGTGGATTTGGATCCTACTTGATTGCTCTGGACGAGAAGACGTATGAACTGATTGGTAAGGACTATCCTGGAAACCGGGCGCAAGATGTAATGAACCCTGGATTAGGATGGATGATTGGGTTTATGTTTGTGGTCAGCTTTCTCGGGCTCTTTAGCCTGGTTCCACTCCGCAAGGTAGCTCCTTTATCCATTTCAAACACTGTCATCATTGAATGTTTGCTAATATGTGTTATGCGGAGAAGTTGAAGTTCCCAGTTTATCATACAATTCGAGCTTAAACTGTGAATGTGTGTATTGATGAAAGCGTTCAATGTTTTGCCCATTTGTAACCTTATGTAGTCTGTTTCTCCTCTGTTCTCTGATTATTTGGTGAATTAGCATCAAAAGGGATATGACTAAATGGATAAATTCATGGTTTGGAGGCTACATGTTTACTGTATAATCTGTTATGGCCTGCATGGCACTGTATTGCTACAAATTATGGATAGATAGATGGTCGGCTTTAAATCTGGTTCTTATTTTGATGATAGGTTATGGTTATGGATTACAAGCTTACTTATCCAAGTGGGACTGCTACGGCGATGTTGATCAATAGTTTCCATACAGATACTGGAGCAGAGCTAGCTGGGTGAGTTTGTAATACTATTCATTCAGTCCTCTTAGTTTGTAGCCTTCTGGATGGTGAAAGATAGAGCTATAGGTTTGTTTGCATACATGAGAAATCAAGGTTTCATTACCTTGTAACTCTGTCTTCTTTTTGACGTTTCGTTGATTTACAGTAAGCAAGTCAAGTGTCTTGGGAAGTACCTGAGCATGAGTTTTGTCTGGAGCTGCTTCAAATGGTTCTTCAGTGGTGTTGGAGACTCATGTGGATTTGACAACTTCCCTAGTCTTGGTCTGACACTTTTCAAGAACTCGTAAGTTGCTTGGACTTTTTCCTAATTTTGGCGTGACTAAATAGTTTGTCTATTTTGGCATTAGCATTCTTACTTTGACTTTAACCCTTGCAGGTTTTACTTCGACTTTAGTCCTACTTATGTTGGATGCGGTCTTATTTGTCCACACATAGTTAACGTCTCCTGTCTTTTGGGAGCTATCATCTCTTGGGGCTTCCTGTGGCCCTTCATCTCTGAGAAAGCTGGTGACTGGTATCCAGCTGACCTCGGTAGCAATGATTTTAAGGGCCTTTATGGATATAAGGTAAGATAGTAAACAGCTTGAGTCTCTTGTCTCATTCTACATTTCTCAGACTTCATGAACAGAGATTCTATACATTGTTAAGACACGAGTGGTTTCTAGAAGACCCAACTTACCCTTTTCAGCAGTGTATTCTTTGTCATGAAATCATTTCTGGAATGAGATGTTCATTCGTGCTTTGTTTTTGTTTGCAGGTCTTCATATCTATTGCTATTATTCTCGGGGATGGACTCTATAATCTAGTTAAAATTATTTATGTTAGTACCAAGGAATTGCTGAACAAAAGCACCAAAGAGCACAAGCTTCCTGTCATCACCGAGATTCAAGGTAAGGGTTCTGATTGTCTCTACAAAGCTACTTAGTTACTTAGTAGGAGGCCTGATCTTTTGATCTGAAGGAAATATTGTGTCTATCTTTTATTTCCCAGATGACGAGACTTCAAAAGTGCTACTAGAGCAAAAACAGCGAGACACTGTATTTCTAAAAGACAGAATCCCATCCTGGTTCGCTGCATCAGGGTATGTCTGCTTGGCAGCAATCTCAATCGCAACAATGCCGCTCATATTCCCACCTCTCAAATGGTACCTCGTCCTTGCATGCTACATACTCGCACCAGCTCTCGCCTTCTGCAACTCGTACGGCACAGGCCTAACCGACTGGAGTCTGACCTCCACCTATGGCAAGATCGGCCTCTTTGTTGTCGCCTCGATTATTGGCCCTAACGGTGGAGTTGTTGGCGGACTAGCTGCCTGTGGTGTCATGATGTCGATTGTCTCGACTGCTGCTGACCTAATGCAGGTAAGGGCGGCTATCCTGTTTGGTTCTGGTTCTGGATTTCAGGTTACCTTAACGGTCATCACCGAAATAATGGCTCTGGCTAACTACCTTTGTTTGTGCAGGACTTCAAAACGGGCTACCTCACTTTATCCTCCGCCAAATCCATGTTCGTCAGCCAGCTGATCGGAACAGCCATGGGATGCGTCATTGCTCCATTGACCTTCTTTATGTTTTGGTCGGCTTTCGATGTAGGTTCTCCGGACGGACCCTACAAGGCGCCCTACGCAGTCATATTCAGAGAAATGGCGATACTGGGTGTGGAAGGGCTGTCGGAGCTCCCCAGGAACTGTCTAGCCATATGCTATTTCTCCTTCGCAGCTGCATTGGTTATAAACCTTCTCAAAGACATCACTCCTAAGAAGATCTCCCAGTTCATTCCCATTCCTATGGCCATGGCGATCCCATTCTACATCGGAGCTTACTTCGCAGTGGACATGTTTGTGGGAACGGTGATACTGTTCGTGTGGGAGCGAGTGAACCGGAAGGATTCGGAGGACTATGCAGGGGCTGTTGCCTCCGGGTTGATATGTGGCGACGGGATATGGACTATACCATCGGCTGTTCTTTCGCTGTTGAGGGTTAACCCGCCGATTTGTATGTCTTTCGGCCCTGCTTTGAGTCGCTGAGATTTGACAAAGATGAAGGGTTATCAAACTGCTCTCTGGAATTTACAGTCCATCATGTGTTGTAAGCTCATTTGGTAGGGAAGAAGCAGTCTCTGGTCTCTTTGAGAGCCTGTACATGTGTAGAAGTGACTGTAAATATCATGCAAAGCCTAGGAAAACAACAGATCCTTTGTTGTATCGTATTTTTTTCACTTTTCAGTACATGTCTCTGGTTTATCTCATTATGTTGAATCGTTGTTAGGGCCACGATGCTTCGATTGATTTGATCTTAGGTTTTGATTTGGGTTTTTATTGAGTGTGGCTTTCCGTAGGTGTGGATGAAACCAAATCGAGGATTGCCTCTGTTGCTCAAATTAGTATAGGGTGTAATGCTTGGTCTACAGTTAGAAAGACAAGAACAAATACGTATTTTGTTGTAGAAAAGGGAATCGATTGCTTGGAGGGTTGATTAATACGCAAGTCACAAATACATATAAGGGTAAATACAATTTAATATCTAAATCTTTTATTTTAGACAATATAATAGTCAAACCTTTTCGAAAACAATCTAATATCCAAATCGTCAACTTTTCTTTTGTTTGACCGTTAGTTGACACTTCAAGAAAGCTTTGTTTAGGGGAAATTGTCACAACATAACTTTGTTTTCTTATTTTGGCAATGCAGATGACTGAATATTTAGATATTTTATACCATTATGGTGGAGTCATGGACTTTTCGGGTTTGGAACTAAGATATGTTGGTGGTTTTTCAGAGAAGATATCGATGGATATTGATGAAGTGTCGTACTTCGAACTTATTTGAAGTGTCAACTATCGGTCAAACAGACAGAAAGTTGGCGATTTGGATATTAAATTGTTTTCGAAAAGGTTTGGCAATTATATTGTTTAAAATGAAAAATTTGAATATTAAATTGTATTTACCCTACATATAATAAACTTGTAATGCAATACGGATCAATTCCAACCCTTTTAATCTAGATATGACATACCAATTAAGATTCCTTGAAAGAAAAGGAAATCTCTATTGAAAAATTCTTTCTTGATGTGTTGTTATGAATTGCCTTTGCTTATTCTTTCTTGAATTGCCAATTTCATCAACGAAAATGATAAGCTAGCTAGGGTTTGCCGCTAAACCTATGCCACCATTTCCCTCTTTGCTTTATCTCTTCAGTTTTGTTTGCATATTGTTTGCCAAAACTCTATCGCCTCATTGGTGATTTGATTTCTCATTGCCCATTGGCTCATCATCAAACACTAATACTCCAACAAAGCTTGATTTGGAAAGAAGAAGAAAAAAACAAAGCTTGATTTGTTATTGAGTTGTCCATTTGTCACTTGGAATCTTTTGTCAAATTTTGTTTTCTATAGATTTATCATAAATTTAATCTTGTGGGTTGATCAAATCATATATATTTCTCTATACATCTTGAACATTTATATATTGTTCATTAGCCTAATGTTGAGTAAGTATAGTAGGTTTTTATATGTACAACACAAAATTATATTTTTAACAGTTCGTTGGCTAGAATTTGATATTGAACTTTGTATTGTTGGTTTATGTTGTTTTGTCTTTAACGAAATTCCGGTCATTATGTTACGGTATAGAAGTTCCTATTTATGAATACATAATGCTTATATATTAAATTTACACATACTCTATCGTATTAGAATGCCATTGTATATCCTCGTGCAGAAAATAAGTTTAATCTATACGAACAAACCAACTGCAATAAAAGAAAAATATTTGAGATCTAAATATACATCACAATTTAATGGAGGATAAGATAAACAATATATTTTTCTTATTATTATTTTCCCCTTTCCATAGAAGATTACTTAAATGAGAAACCCAAAACTTGCTTAGCCATTGTAAATTTTGTTAGTGTGTGGTATAAGATCTATTACGGAACTTCTCCCAACAACTCGAGTTATTGAAATCAACTGGTTCTTGACATGGTATCAGAGCCTTCTGTGACATAAAGGACTTGTGTTCGAATCCCGGTGAACCCCATTTGAGAAGCACATTATATTATTGTCTTCAGACCTTGTGCAAACTTCAAACCTGAGTGGCTTTCGTTTGAGGGAGTGTGTTAGTGTGTGGTATAAGATCCATCACGAAACCTCTCCCAACAAATCGAGTTATTGGTATAAACTGGTTCTTGACAAATCATCACCACCTAATTGCTGATTCTTCTTTTCATTTTTTATGGTAACGTGAGAATATATGTGACATGCAAGAGAATAACCAAAAGAAAGCACCGAGAACAGGGAAAATGGGGTAAAGTCGACATCAAAGTGAAAGCGAAAGATAATCTCCATCATTTATGTGCACTACACACCACATTTCAAATCTACACACAAAGGAGATAGATAATGGATGAGGTGTCCATAAATATTCTGTCATCATTTGATAAATATAGTCATTCTGCATTTCTATTCAAACAGGATTTTTGGCCTGGCCTATTGAAATTTCAAATTTCTCACCAATTGGGGGCCTTGTAGAATATTCTTTCCCTTTTTCCTAAAAAAAAAGAATATATATTCCTTCCCCATTTTTTTTTTAACTTGCCAATTTATTTCACTCAACTTTGATTTTCGACGAGCCCATCATTAAACATTCAACTAACATAATTTCTTTGAAAAAAAGGGAATAACTTGCATATATCAAGCATTACACTTTCAAGTCGGTGAGATTAGTGCGTTTATTATAACTCTCAAAATTACTGATTTTTTTTATAATAGTGATTTAATTAAAATAAAAGGAAAAGAGTCCGAGTATTGATAAAATATATTGCATAGACCATCTTATTGCTCATATTATATATTGGGTTGGATGAAGGGGTTGGGATGGATCAGGTTCTACGTATAAGTGAACGAGGTGGAATAATAATGATTTTTGTTTAGATTGATTGAGTTTGAGTTAAGAACTTAAAATTAATCGTACGTTATAACTCGTACTATAATCTAAATGATCTTCCATTATTTGAATGAGTTGAGATACTAATTTGGATAATTCCAGTGACAAATCTAATGAAGGTGAATGGATCATCGATGACATTAGTTTTTTCAAATTTTATTATTGAGTCTAAAGATTAAATTTTAGTGCCCAATTTATTAGTAACCTCAAAGTTTGGTCACCATTAATAAAATAGCCCAATGTTGTATACAACAATATATTTCCCAACTTATAACATCCAACTACCAATAAATTGATCGGTTGTGACCTTTCGTCCTTGTGATATGGTGTTCTTCTTAGTCGATTGGGGTTTTCCCTTCTATTCTGGCTATTTGACTTCTTGTCACGGCCCAACCATCTAGCTAGTAATGACTTTTCGACCTATCTAATCAAACCTTTTGTCTACTTGTGGAAATGGATCATCAATTCATCATCCTCCCAGGCATCCACAGCTAGCAGCCAGCCACAACACAAATTGCAGAAATTGTAATAAGTCTAAAAAATGGAAATTGATAATACCTTTTAGCAACCAAAATTTATGCTGCATGGGTAAGATTCGGAACTCAGAGTTAGCTAGTATGGAATTTGTCAATCCAATATTATGTAGCATCTAATACATTATTGGAATTGGACATCAAGAATGTTCGTATAGTAACTAATAATCGATGTAGAAAAGAGTTTGGGTTGATTCAAGAAACATAAATTCATAAAAGAAACTGTGACATATCTTGAATATGATACTACTTAACATCCTAGTACGTTAAAGTATCACTAGAAATCTGGAATAGGACATGGAGATATTGTCATACAATAACTAGTAAATCATAAAAAATTGATCGTTACAAGAAATGAATGTTCATAAGAAAAAGTGTATAATCGATATTAGAAAGGTGATCCATTCCGTAATGAGATTCTACGTTGATACTATTGTCTCAATAAGGATAACACTCGACCTTTACAATGAGTTTGACACTCACGGCCAAATCCGTTAGAACACGCACCTCCATGATCACAATTTGTAGCTAGCTAGGCTAGCTCTTTGAGCTGATCAACATAGACGATTGAACTGCCCTAGTTTCATAGTGAAGGCACGTTTGGATATGTCTTAATAATGTTCATGCAAGTTCCATATATATATATATGGAAGTAGGATGATGCATGCCACGTATACACCAAATGTGAGCTAATACTTCGCATTAATATAGATTACATATAATCTAGGAAAACAACAAGAGACAACATAGTTGATTGCGTTGGCAGGCTGGGAATTAACTAGCTAGATGGGTTGGCCGAAGACGAATGCAACTTTTGAAAAGGATGGGATTTGTGAGAGACAGAGATAGAGAAAGATCCAAAGTTTATCTCTTTACTGGGGATGGGAAGTAGTGTTTGAAAACCTTGGCTTGATAATACAAAAGCATAATATCTGACCACCACATCATCAGATTGATTATTCTCTTCTATTAGAACATATTCATGATCTATAATTTGTTGTTCAATAAATTAAATAATATTATCAGTATAATATTTTTCTTCAAACCGAGCTAGATAATAGCTTTCAATATGTTAAATACAAATTGTACATATATATTGAAACAACCTGTTGAAGTTCATCATGCATTAGTTTGTAGTTAATCGGACTATGGTAATTTTATGAATCGTTTAGTCTCAATAATTTGATTTGTTGGAACATGTTCAATTATGACTGCCAACCATGTTTGAATATTCAATGGTTTTTATTTTAGCTATTCTTTTCTCCTCCAATATTCAATGCATTTGAAGTTGAAATTTTAAAAATTATGTTTATATTGGAAGGAGATGATTCATCAGACTCTCAAACAGCTGGATTGCAGAATGAGAGAAAAAGGCTCCTACTATATTGTCTCCATCATAGGAAGCACCCAAACAATGAATAGTAATGAATGAAAATCACTTACACACAGATACAGTAAACCCCACTTTAATTTCCCCTCTTCTCTCCACCACCATCATTCATTAGCAATCCCCTTTAAGCAATAAAAGGGAAATGTCCCCCCAGAAGATTAGATTTAGGTAAGGAAGTGCGTAGATTTTACATTAATTATCTCATTGAGTTAGACTTGTAGTGCTGAGGATGATGCATATATATTATCAGGGGCGGAGCTAGGATTTCGAAACCGGGGTCAAAAATAATTGAACAAAATGTATATAGCCATGATGGATCGAACCCGTGTGCTTTAAAAACACAAGTCAAACTTGTCTACCATTTGACTACATGACTATTACACATCAAAATTTACGGAACAAGTTCTACTTCTAAAATTCGTACTAAATATCATTACGATCTTAGGGGTTG